ATACTCCCCATTAAAAATAATAAAAAAAAAAGGTTAAATTTAACAGATCCTGGTCAGAAACCCGGCCTGTTCATTCCATTTTTCAGCTAAGAGGGTATTAAGAAGAAGCCATCTGTGTTTATGGACACTAAAAAAGTACCGACTGCTGACCAAAATCCAGTTGTTCCGTGGACTCTCCTGGCGTTCATGGTTGATTTTAACTCTTTTTAAAAGGAAACCCATCCCTACTGGACTAGTCACTGTAACCACTCACCTCTGACTGCAGCTTCAGATCAACAGCCCTCTGCTTTTCAGCAATGGAGTCGTAGTGTCTCTCTTTCAAGTCAGCAATTTCTTCCTCGGTCAGAGGTCTGAAAGCAGGGGAGAAACACAGAAAGGCTCCATCTATAATTCATGCATGACAAGCCTAATTTGCTCTTTAACATATCCATGTGGCCATTCCTGACTGGCCCTTCTGTGCAGATCCAACGAGCTGTTCCTCCTGAGAACAGAGCTCCAAAGTTCCAGCTCACTCAGGGCAGTGCTGTCTCTCCTTATTATTACTATATATATATATTATTTATATCTTTATGGGAAGCATATTTTCAAAACCTTTGCTAAGAGAACTACTGGAACAGAACAATTACTATCACTGCAGTATAAATCTCCCTTTTTCCTTACTTGTTTTCACCCCTTGTTTGTCCCTTACTTCATTTTGTTTATCACAGAGGGGAAGCAGAGGGAAGAGAAGGGGAGGTCCTGAACCTCCAAGTCTTACCTGTGACTGCTTCCTGGGCTTTCTCCCTGTTAAAATTAAAAAAAAAAAAAAAGCACCAATGTGAAATCACAGTTTCTCCCATATATTGATTCTACAATTAGGGGGGGAAAAATGCAGTTTTCATTTGGAATTAAAAATAATCTTGCTATGCAATCAACTGAAGTGGCTGACTAAGTGAAACAAGTAAGTACATCCAACTGAAAATAAATATTCTGGTGGTGTATTTCGGGAACCAAACTATCAGTCCTCGTGTTTTTAAATACATTGAAAACGTGATGTGTGCCCTGCCCATCAACAGGCTGTGTTAAACTTTTAAGAGTGAAGTTTTAAGGTCAAGTTCAACCAGTTTACCCATAATTGGAAAGACAGAGCATTCCCAAAAATTTCCTTAGTCAAGCCACCCAGGTCCATTTATGCTCTCAGGCAGAGAGCACTTGGCTGAGTTTTGCACAAGAGTTATACCAGGAGCAAATTCTGCTTTAAGTCTTCCCAAACACACTTTCCCCCCCCCTTCTTCTTTTTGCCTTCCCAAAGTCCACAGCACTCTCTTCCTGAAAGAGTTACTTCCCATATTCCCCCCCCCAAAAAAAATCTCTTCTCTTAGATCTTCATCCACACTGTTAAATACTCATTCCCAGAGCAAGGACAACTTGAAGGATAAAACCCCCTGTGATATAAGTCAAGAACACAGCGGGAGGAAGATTCACATCTTGGAACCGCTTTTAAGGATTATCTGAGGTTTCCCAGGATTCTCCAGGTACCCACCTCATCACTTTCCACGAGGTTCTCAAACTGCAGAGAAAAAGAAAGGAAATAATCTTTACAATTCAATATAACAAGCCACTACAGACATACAGCAAATATGATTACCCATGTCATTTGTCTTTTTAAAACATAAATTTGAAATAAATTTAAAACACTCCGATGATGAGTGGGACTGTTAACAGCATTTATGAAAGTCTCTAATTTTAGAGGAATTATTACTTTCAGAGTAGGACCTGCCTTCTTAGCAACGTTTCTTTTCTTAAATATTACGTTCTCCCAAAAGGAGAAGAGTCCAAATTAAAAACCAAAGCATTCTACGCTGCACAAACCTGCCCAGCAGAAGCTCAGCTATCACGTTAAAAAATAAGCAAACAGAAATTATCTGTACTGTTCTTAGTACAGTCATCTTAAATTTAGTCAGGTCAGTACCCACAGCAAGTACCTCCTTATTGACCTAAAAATCTGGGAGGAGAACAAAACCTTCTTTTCCCCATCCTATTTCTGCGGCAGGAACAGCCTCTCACAACTGGAAGTTGTCCACCAAAACAGGAATCCTCCACCACGTACATCTGCCCCCTTTCTTGAAAGCATTAATTTCAGTAATTAATGTTATCCCCAGTAACGGGGGCAATCTGAACGGCCCAGGACTTCCAGACCATACAGAACACTCACAGAAAATAAACCAGGTTATTATTCCAAGAATCTCAGCTTAATGCAAACTAACCTCACACTCCCCTGGGCAAAAAGGGGGGAAATTTGGAGGCCGAGAAAGGACCCCCCCCACAGCGAACAAACTGTAAGGGAACCCCATCAGGTTCTTTCTGTACAATCTGATTCATGATCCTGCAATCAAGAACTAAATATTCTGCACTTGAGACAAGCAGAAAAATCACTCCCAACACAGCAGAGGTGACAGATGCAACAGGCAGACTATGGAACGCTCTGGTGATGAGTATCAGATCATAACAGATACTTCTCTTTCTTCCAAATAATAGATGCAAGAGAGATGATGTATTCATGTTCTGAGGTGCTGTGAGGACCACTATATGTCACCCAGTGCAGCATCAATTTGGTCTGGAATAACCCAGAATGCTTCAGTGTTCATAAACTGCAAAAAGTGTTAAAGGGCATTGCTGGGATTCAGCTTTTCCCACTTTTTCTTGCATCACTATAAATTGTAAGCACTCACCTCTATAGTGAAGTGTTCTCCTGTTGAACACGTTCTAAAATACTTGGATCTGGAAAAAGAAGTAGGCAGTTACACTACAGAAGAGCCTTCAATACACAGCAGAAGGAAAATGAGCCCGAGAGTTTAAAATAGCTTTTAAAATATGCTTAAGGAAGTATAAAATAACCACAAAATCTTCAGGTGTTCAACAAATTGACTCGTTAACCTGAGCTCGGCGTCGCTACCACAGTGGAAAGAGGCAAAAGCATGTAAACGTTTTCTGTAGAACTGGAGAAAAAAACTAAAACCCTCACGAGATGAAATCATTTATCAAGATGCTGGACTTGACATTTACAGACTGTCAGCGTGTTCTGCAATCCCTTTAATACATTTTTTTTCCCCTCGAAAAACAGGATTCCAGGCCATTTCTGAAAATGCTGTTGCTCGTCATGGCACTTAACTCTTTCCAGGCACCCTGTACAACATCAGTGTTCAACAACACACCTTGGCACAGCTACAAGGCTGCACCTCAGAAAAATGTCTACAAAGAGGTTAAGAAAAAACTTTTCACCTACCAAAAAAACCCCCCAAAAAACTCACTGTCTAATTTTATACAGGGAATCACCTCCTCCTTGCTTCTTTAATCAGAATTCTTCCTGTTTTAATTCTTTTATAGAGGACAGTTAACACTGTCCTCTACAAAACCCAACCCAGTATCACGTTACCTGTGAATACATTTTCACCCAGCCAGAGGGGTTTGGCCATCATCCAGGAGAACACTCAAAAGCAAACACACTTCAGTCCAACATCCATCTCATCGAACTGTTTGGAAAACCAGGGTTTCCAGTTGCAAGTGCTGACTGGTACCAGGAATAAACCCAGGGCCCTCAGGGAGTTCTCCACTTGCACAAAAGATTGTTCAGTACTTGCAACCAACACCTGCTTCCACAATAACAAAATCAACACGCCAGCCAAAGCCTGCATTATTTGAATCGTATCCTGTTTCATCTCCATCTCATTTTCCTTTGGAAGTCAGTTTAGGGAATGTCTCCCCTGGCAACTTGTTGCACAACCCACTCGTTCCTTGTTGCACAACCTTTCCTGCCACTTAAGGAACCGTTTCCAGTGGATTCACTGCTCTGAAACCAGGGGGGAAAGGCCACTTGAATTCATGCACTACATGGCAAGTGCAACTGGGACACGTGGCAGGAACACTTTACAGCACCAGGCGTTAGGTAAATTATTTCCAAGCTCACAACCACACGAGCTTCAAAGACCTGAAGTTATTAGAAAGATTAACTTTACAGCACTCCATACATATATATATATATGTATTTTAAGCACAGTTCCAAGTAAGGCAACTTATAATCTTGCAGGTTATCAAAACACTTGTTAAAAACTCTATACTTAATTATTTAACTGGGAGTTTATTTCTTGCATTCGAATCTTGGAACATCTAAAAATAATGAAACTGGGAGGGGGGAGAGGGCTCTGAGTGATTAAAATAATCCTGAAGTTGATAAGCTGCATTATTACATTATGCTGTTCCAGAAGTAGCCAAATGTGCATAATTTTGTAGCAATGTAATTTGCAGATTTGGGGTATTGGCCTATGAGTGGAGACTGTGCAAAAAACATGTGGGGGAAGAACCTTTCAAGCATTATCTGTTTTTTTTTTCAGAACACAAGAAAGTGCTGCCTGCTGTCAAGGCATTTCAGATGTTCTCCTACCCTCTGCTAGGGTACTAAAAATACAAGCAGGTATCCTCTACACACACTGCCCTGGTTTTTCACCCAGTTCTCTGAGAGGCAGCTTGTCTTGAAGCCCTTTTAGGAGAAGGCGAGACTTGCCTGCCAGAGCCGATGTGAAATAAGAGGCCACGGGTTTGCAGCATGTAAAATGCTCAGCGTGTCTGTCTAGAACTACTTCTGTCCTAACACATCAAAAATAAGCAATAGGTAGATATCAAATACTGGTCGGTATATGGAAAAAAACAAAAACAAGTTTGTTTTTTTACAGGTAGGATTTCCTTCCCGTTTGCACACTTCTTTTCCATGAGCTGGCCGCTGCAGAATGAAACCGGGGTTACACGTTTACAAGAGCTATGAAGAGACATGAGTTCATTCCAACCATTCTGCGAGAGATATGAGTTCATCCGAACCCTTCTGCTCCCGATTTACCCCAACAGCGCCTCAGCCTCTGACTCACAGAGCGGACGAGCTCCCACTGCAGAAAACCGGGTGTTTTTCCACCCCAAAACCACGGCCGCCCGCACAGGTTTCGGGAGCTGACCCGAAAAACCTTCCCAAGCGTCTCCTGCCGGAAAAACAACACTGCTGGAACGGGTAAGGAGCCGGTTACCCTGGAAGTGCATTACCCCCGACCGCACAAACCGCACGGAGCCCAGCGGGCTCCCCGGCGCCTCCATCCACCTCCATCCCCCCGGGATGCCGCGGCTCCCTGCGGGAAGGGGCGAGGGGCTGCGGGGGCGACGCGATGCGACCTCTGGGTGCGCCCCGCAGCCCTGTGACCCCCCTCCTGCCCCTCGGGGGCCCCCGGGAAGGCGGGGCCGGGCTGTGCCGGCACCTCCCCGCCCCGGGGAGGGGAAAGGGGCAGCCGCGGTCCCCCCGCTCACCCTCCGCCGCGCTGCAGCCGGCCCGCGTCCCTCCGGAAGAACAGCCCGCAGCACCACTGCGCCCAGCAGTTCCCCATCGCATCCTGCTGGGAACAGCTCCTCCTCCTCCTCCTCCTCCTCCCTTCCCGCCGGGCTCAAGCCGCCCCGGCCATCGGGATGGGCGGCCGCGGACCCCCGGGAACAAAGGGCCGGCACAGCCTCATGGCTGCGCAGGGGCGGGCGATGCTGCTCGCCCCGGCCGCCGGCACCGCCCACGGCTCCGGCATCACATCGGCATCAGCCCGCCCCGAACCCGGCACCGCCCCGAACCCGGCTTTCCCCGGGCTCCTCGGAGGTGGGAGGGGCTCCGCGTAGCCTGTGTTTGAAAAGGAGAGTTAAAAAAAAAAATGTTACAGGGTTCCCGTGGTCAGGGTGAGAAAGCGTCGCCACGGTTTGGAGAAGGAGGAACCCGGTTCAAGGTCCCTGTTGTTATGAGAGGAAAAAAAGGGTTTCTCCCCCGTTAATCAAGCCTGGACTCGGTCAGTGCCATTGAGGTACCACCAGACTGCCAAACATACCTGGAACACGGGCACTGTAAGGTTTAGCAAGGTATCTCATCCATTCTTCAGGCTCTCGGGCTTTAAACTATAGCACCACACTGACACATGGAATCACAGAATCCTGGGAGGGACCTTAAAGCTCATCCAGTTCTGGCTTGGCTCCCTGACACCTTCCGCTATCCCAGGCTGCTCCAAGCCCCATCCAGCCTGGCCTTGGACACTTCCAGGGTCGGGGCAGCCACAGCTTCTCTGGGCAACCTGTGCCAGGGCCTCACCACCCTCACAGAGAAGAATGTTTTTCCTAATATCCAATTTAACACTGCTCTTTTTCTGTTTGAATCCATCCCCCTTTGTCCATGACAAGTTAATGGTGACATTGTATACGTGTGGTTTGTTCCTTTCATTTGATGGATCCAAAAGTATCTCAGGGGTGGAGGAGTTAATTGGATTCCAAGTCAGCTCTCCATTAGCAGCACGGGACAGATGCCAGGACCCAGAGAAGGCACTTGCTACTGATGAGCAGGAGAAGGTAGGAGGAATATAATAAATCAATGCCCCCTGAGCTCTGATATTTTTTCGCCCCCCTGGAAATGTGAGGTCAGCCTGGAAAGGTTCATTACAGTAATTGCATGCAGAGAGTGAGGATGAAGGTGAAGGAGACGTGAAAACAACCAAGAATTAGTTGCAGAAGGTGACTCATATCGATGTGACTCAAGAGAAATGCAGTAAAGGTTCCAGAAAGTATCATTGGGATATATATGATGCCTCCATTTCCTGGGGAATTGGCGTTTTTGGCAAGGCATATATTGTTCCTCTCCCAAAGAGGGATGTTGCAGCAGTTCCAGCCTGAGAGGTGCCCATAAATTTCTTCAGAGAAATTGGACACCTCTTTTTCTACAGTACCCTCAGCTGTGAAATGGAGGCCACCAAACCGAGGAGAGAATATCGGGAATATCCACATGGAATGTCTTTGTTTCTGCAGCCTCTGGTTGTGTTTTCCTACACGTGTCCTGCCGTGCCACTCCTGTCCAGGGCAAGACAAGTCACTGTGAGCAGAAGACCGTCATGTGCTGCTACATCCGTGGCTGGATGGAAAGAACAAGAGGAAGTTGGATTAAGAATATCTTGGATGAAGTCTCCGTCAGTAAACACACAGGGATGCTTCAGCTTTCCTGCCTCCTGAAGGGTTCGTGCCTGGTGTTAAGTTGCAGGTAGTATGTGCAGAAACTGCCATCTTTTTAAGACAAAACGCACAGCAAGGGCACTGGCACAGACATCTAAATCTAAAAGCAAATTATTCCGCCTTTTCCATGGCCGCATCCTTGGCAACATCAGCAGCCTCCCAGCAGCACAGGGGGAATAGTTCAGTGTTTTTCAGGCTGCCTTTTAACGCGGCGCTCTGCTCAAAAGTGCAAGGTTGCTTTAGCCATTTCTCCTTTACGTGCCTTACTGGCTTTATGCAAGCGAGCTTTATAACGTTTTATATTCATAATATTTTATAAGGCCCGTTTTCTTTTTTACTCTTTGTGAGCCAAGCAGGTTTCCACGCAGGCTTTTGCGACAGGCGGGGCGCGGCGGCGCTTTACGGCGGGCCGTTGCCCCGGCGACGCCGCGCTGGACCGGGGGCCGAGGCCATCCCGGGTCCCTCCATCCCGGTCCAGTCGCTGCATCCCGGTCCGGCCTCTCCAGCCGGGTCCGGGCCCTCCAGACGGGTCCCTCCGGCCATGGAGAAGTACCAGGTGCTGGGGCTGGTGGGGGAAGGCAGCTACGGGGTGGTGACCAAGTGCAGGAACAGGGAGAGCGGGCAGATCGTGGCCGTCAAGAAGTTCCTGGAGAGCGAGGACGACGCGGCGGTGAGGAAGATCGCCGTGAGGGAGATCAAGCTGCTCAAGGTGGGCCGCCCGGGGGGGGCCCTTTTTAATGGCCTCGTGTTTAAAATGTTAAGGGTTTTCTGCTTTAAACTCGTGGCTCCGCGTTCAGCCCCTCCTTCACACTCCTTCGGCTTTTTTTTTGTCGCAGCGCAGCGTCTTGTCAGCTTCTGGTCGTCGCTTACGGCGTATTAACTAACGAAATCCAAGCCGAAAGAGGCTCGATTTGGCCCTGTTTGTATTTCCCTGGATTAATTCAGCCTTTTGCGTCGTAGCCTTGCGAGAGCTGCTTTCCCCTTTGCCTGGGTGCCGTGCTGGATATTCACCCGGCGAATCCTGGATTGGAAGAGTCTTGTTTATGTGCCCGGTGTTCAGCGGGGAAAAGCTCGAGGTCTCTGTTGCCTCCTGGTGGTAACTGCGACCCCCCTGTTTTGTCCCGAATTCTTGTTCTGGCTGCTGTGAATCAGCCGAAAATGAAAGAAAGCTGAGCTTTTAACACCTGCAGGTGAACGGTGACCTGCGTCTGTGACACCAGACTGGGGGGTGCCGGTGTCACCTGATACGGAAAAATGCTTCTAGGGAAGTTTTCCTTTATTTTCTTTTATTCGTGGCACTTTCCTGCCAGGTGAAAGGCTGGAGGAGGACAGGTGTCAGATTCCCTGAACCTTACCGATCCACATGTAGTCCTTTGCTGTTGGAGTGTGGGATTTGCCTGGTATCGGTATTGTAGTGACAGGACAGGGGGGGATGGATTCAAACTAGAAGAAAGTAGGTTTAGATTGGATATTAGAAAGAAAGTCTTCCCTGTGAGGGTGGGGAGGCCCTGGCACAGGTTGCCCAGAGAAGCTGTGGCTGCCCCATCCCTGGGAGTGTTTAAAGGCCAGGTGGGATGGAGCTCGGAGCAACCTGGGTTAGTGGAGGGTGGGAATTCTAAACGTTGGGACATAGATGTGTCTGGTGAAGAAATGAAGAAAAGCCTTATTACACTTGGAGTGCATCCAGGCTTTTCCTCTGATGTGGGGACTTGCAGAGGTGGGAATACAGGCAAAGTATTCCCTGTGTCCTGCCCTCTTAGCTGCCACAAGTGTCTCTTCCTAAATCTACCAGATTATATAGTCTCTGTGCTCTGAAGGGAAAAAAAGTGATGTTTGCCATCACTGCAAGAACTGCAGAATCTTAGAGATGTATGTGCTGGACCTTGAGACACATCCAGCAGCTCCAGGTATTATCCCCTCAAACACTTCTAAAGTGGATCTGTGTGAGCCTGGATTGTTCCTGATCTGTCGGGCTCGCTGAGTCACTGAGTCAGAGCACGTAGCACCTCCCAGGTGTGTTGGGAATTAACTTGTTTTCCTGGGTAAGTGGAATCTTAGCAAGGGGAACACTTCCATATATAGCTCTGTAAGGGTGGCCTCTCACAGTGAAAGCAAATAGCTGAAGATTCAGTCTGTTTGTGGTTTCTTCCCTTGCTCCTTGTGAACCTGATTTTATTTATTCATCTTTCGTTTCTCTTTTCTTGTTCTGGAGTTTGGGCAGAAAATGTAACTGCAGCTAAAACCAGCAAAACCTCTTCAGGTCTCCTGTACTGGGAATAAACAATTCCTGAGAAGAGAGTTCGTCCTTTTAAAATTCTTCTCTTTTTCAGACCTTCCAGGTAATCTGGGCAGACCCAGGTGCAGGTTGGCTGGCACTGCCTCTGGACTGGCAGAGCTTCCCCTTCAATTCCCCGTGCTCTGCAGTCCTTTTTCATCTCCCTCAGTGAGATCCCTGGGCTCTGGTGCTGCCTCCAGGCAGCCTCTGGTGATATTTCCCTGCCAGGCTCCAGCTAATAAATAACTGTGCACTGGAGTGTGGCCTGTTGTGTTGGTGTGGGATAAATGTGTAACAAATTGGGGGTGGATTCTTGGGGGTGTAGCAAATTGGGGCTGGGGCTGGTCAGAACGTGATGACAAAATAACTGGAAAATACAGTTCCCTTCCCCCTCCCCCCCTCACTTTTTACTTAAGTTGCATTTTTTGGCAAAGTCCCAGCTGGGTTGGAGTTAAAAGTCTCCATTCTTTCCTGTTATAAACCATCCAGCTCTCACTAAATATTCCCTGTTTTATTACAGCAACTCAGGCATGAGAATCTGGTGAACCTGCTGGAGGTGTGCAAGAGGAAGAAACGATGGTATCTGGTGTTTGAATTTGTGGATCACACAGTGCTCGATGACCTGGAGGCGTCTCCCAACGGCCTGGACTACGACAGGGTTCGGAAATACTTATTCCAGATTACCAGAGGAATTGCCTTTTGTCACAGTCATAATGTAAGTACGTGCCAGGAATCAGCTCAGCAGTGAAAAGAAATAGATACAGAAGCATATATTCAGCTATATATTAAAACTTACAGAAACAAAGCTTTGGCTGAAAAGGCAGAGAGTTACATAAAATAAATGTTTCTGAAGTTAGGGGTTCTGTAATTTTCTACCCGAGCGTGAGAAACCTGCGGTTTTTGCTGAGCCAGTCAGTTTGCTATGTACAAATGGGGAATTTGTCTCGACTTGCTTTCCCCTGTGCAGATAATCCATCGGGATATTAAGCCAGAGAACATCCTGGTTTCCCAGTCGGGAGTTGTGAAGCTTTGCGACTTCGGATTTGCCCGTCCCTTGGCAGCTTCCGGGGAAGTTTACACGGAGTACGTGGCGACCCGGTGGTACAGAGCTCCAGAGCTGCTGGTGGGAGACAGCAAGTATGGCAAGTAAGTCTGGCCTGTGAGGCTGTGAAGGGTTGTGGGGAGCAGGGAGGGAGTGCTCCATCTTCTCCACCGCCTCAGCCTTTGGAACAAAGCAACGAACGAAGCCGTGCTGAGCCGGGATGGTGTTGTTTTTATTCCCAGGGCTGTGGACGTGTGGGCTATTGGCTCCCTGATAACAGAAATGCTTACAGGAGAGCCCCTTTTCCCTGGAGATTCAGACATTGACCAGCTCTACCATATCACCAAATGCCTGGGTAAGAACAGCCTAGTGCCTGCTCAGGAGTGAAGGGATCAAATTTGTTTTGAAGGGTGGGAAAGGAACAACCCAGACTGGAGCCTCACAGTAATGCTGACCCAGTATTTCAGCCTCTCAAATCTTTCACCGTCCTCTATTTTTTTTCCATGTGGCTGCTTCGTTTGTGTGATTCCAGGTAATTTAATTCCAAGGCACCAAGAGTTATTCTATAAAAATCCCCTCTTTGCTGGCATGAGGCTGCCTGAGGTGAAGGAGGTGGAATCTCTGGACAAACGCTATCCCAAGCTCTCTGCTGCCGTGCTGGATTTAACCAAGGTAATTAACTGTTCCTACGGACATTCCTCTGTTTACTTGTCCTTCACCTTGTGCAGATGAGTACAGGGCTATTAAAGTGCCTTTCTCTCAGCTCCCCATGCAGTGAGCAACTCCTTGGATTGGCAGCTTAGCGAGGGCTGCGAGGATACCACAGTCCTGGGTGATGGGGGGCACTCAGCCCTCACCTCCCGAGCCAGAGGGATCGCTGCATATCCTCCAGGGAGGAGCCTTGTTCTTACCCTCTCTCAGGCAGGATAAAGCCTTGGTTTCATGCCTGATTTCTCACGTTCACGTTGGTTTGACAGGAGTGTTTGCAGATCGACCCGGACAAAAGACCGTCCTGCGCCGAACTCTTGCAGCACAATTTCTTTAACCAGGACGGGTTTGCTGAGAGGTAAAGCAGCTCATTTCTTGCTCAGAGCAGCCTCAGGAGGTGAAGCAGTTGTGCTCTTAGATGGCACGCTGGCTTTGCAGAGCTGAGAGCTACTGAATGTCTTGGGATTCTTGTTTGGGTTTGGCCTTCCTGGAAATAGGAGAACAGTTGGAAGGGAACACGTGGCAGTGGCACGTTCACCTTGTTGTGACATTAATTCCCCAGTGTCACAGCATTTTGGGCAGTACAGTTTAACACTATATTCACTCTCTGCATCTACTCCAGACTGGGATACAAGCACCTTTGTTGCTGCAATGTGAAAAATGTATGCTTAAGATTTTATTTATTTTAAGGTATACATCATATTTAGCTTCCTACTAGTCAGAAAGCATGTTTTGTTTGGTTGCTTAAAAGTCTGTGGGGGCCTGGGCTGAACAACTGATGATGGTGTTAAGTTTACCAGAAGCCCTTTTATTTATTTTTTTTTTCTTTATCCTTACTTGGAATGTAGGTTTACTGAGGAACTTAAATTAAAGATCCAGAAAGATGCCAGAGACCGTCAGTTACAAAAAAAATCCAAAGTCAGCAAAAGGGAGAAAGATGATGTTTTAGAAGAAAGAAAATTATTCAGTGTCCAGGTTGGTCCATCTTTTTTTTTTTTCCCCCAACTGTATTTTGGCTGTATTTCCCCCAACTGTATTTCTTTTTTTTTTTCATGTTTTAAAATCATTATATCAATGTGTGTGTAGCAGTTAAAATTCATAACAAATGGCATGGGAGTCTGCAGGTGGATCTTTGGCCAGTCCCTTGCAGGTGAACTACATGGTGATGCAGTTCCTGGCAATACAGAGCTGAAGGGAGAAACAGTGGGGAAGCATGTTGAATCATGGAGACATGCTCTATGCTGCTGTTTACCTGTTTTAAAGCCCTGTCTCCAAATTGAAAATTAAAAAAAAATATTAAAAGTTAAAAATTTTGAAAGTTTAAAAATTGAAAATTAAAAAATTAAAAATAAAAAAATTAAAAATCAAAATTTTAAAAAATTAAAATAGTTAAAAAATTAAAAATGAAATATTTTGTTTACAATTGGGTAGTAAGGAGGCTTCAGAATGACTTTGAGGTGACATTGGGCCCAATTTTTATTTAATTTCTTTGGAAGTGGCACAGGATGTGGCTGCTCTTCCTCCATCATTCCTGATTCCGTTCTGAAGTAGCTTTATTTACAGAGGGTGCTGGAACCCTGACAAGTTTCCTCCTGTTTGATGGAAACCAGAGGTTTTCTAATAAAAACAGTTCCATCTCCATCAGATCCTTGCGGAATCGCGCGTGTTTAGGTTTAGGCTTTTGACTTTTTTTTTTTTTGTCCCCCTGTATGTGCTGCTGCAAGCTGCTTTTTTAACATGACAGGAAGGGAAAGGTGATGCTTTATCTTCCCAAACAGGATTTTGGCCCAAGGAGCAGAGAGGAGAAGCTGTTGAAGACGAAGCGCTCTAAAGCCGATGCAGAGAAAACAGACCGATGCTCCAACCTGAGCTTCCTCTACGACAGCGCCGTCAACCCGTTCAAAATCAGCCCTCAGACCAGCCTGAAAGATTCCAGCAGCAGCTTGGACTACGCCAAGAACCCGGGCATAGTGATCCCTCCCATCAACCAGAACTTTTCTCCTACCTTTGGGATGGGCCCCGTGCCCGGGAGCCTTAATTACAGGTATGGGAGCAGAGCTAGGAGGGCTCCATCATCCCTGTTGCTGAGGGACTGGGATGTGGGAATGTGACTTTGGGATATCTTGCCTTTGTTGTTTTTACATTTGCCGCCTTACCTCGATTAATACGAAGTTTGGGGCGTTTTTGATTACAGACTTGATGAAAAGAGTAAAAAATACTTGAACCCATTGCTAAAGCAACAGAGGCCTTCTCCTGCAGGCCATTACAGCGTCAGCCTGACACCGGTGAGTCGCCTGTCTTTCCCCTTTGGCAAAGCAAAAATAAAATAAAAGTAAAATTCAGGCCCCAGTTACGTGTTTAATTGTCAAGAATTCCAAATGTTCCATCCTTCACCATTGCTCCCAACTAGAAATGCTCTTTTCTTTGCCCCTTTTTTTCCCTACGGGTTCGTTGTTTGTTATCCTTCGCTAATAGTTATCTTACATAAAACACACTTTGTGTCAAAAAACAACTTTAAATGCTGGAAGCAGTCCAGCACAGGATATCTGTGAGATCTGGAGTATATCCATGGCCTCCTGCCTGGCCAGGAAAAGCAGACCATGTGTGCTGTGGTACTGAAGCAGAAGTGAGGGGTTGGATTTAATGCAGTCAGGGCCTTGTTTAGTCATGTCATAAATGCATTAAAAATTGATAAGGAAAACAAGTGGAATGGAAAGTTTTCCACTGCTCTCTCCGCCTAGGCACGATTCTTTCTGTGTCAGCAAGGAACGTTTGCTTTTTTCCAAATAACTAATCCCAGCCATTCTCCAAGTGGTACACTTTATCTCTCAGAAAGCAGCCTCACTTAGATGATTGTTTTTATTTTTGCTGCTGCTTTTCCATTGTTTATAGTGCATAAATGAGCCTTGAGCAGGTTGAATTCCTTCACACACATCAGAGCCTTTTCTTGTACAAATTCCAGCTGCAGCAGAACACTGCTGGGCTGATGCTTTTTTTAACCTTGAAAATAGCATCATTTTTTTTCTGTGTTTTCATGAGCTGGTCCTTATGCCCTTGATTACAGGTTACTAATGAAAAAAACATCCTTCAGGCGAATAGGAAGAAATGGGAATTCTCCAAGGCAGATGTGCGTTTGCCAGAACTGAATCACCTCCCCGAGCTGAGAGGAGTGGAAGGTAGGAGCTCTGATGTCCTCTAAATAAAACCTGGGTACTAAATAAGTGGCAGTCAGCTCTTGTTTTTACTTCACGCTGCATGCCTTGGTTGTGTTTTGCAGCGTGGCATCCCAGATTTCTGAAGAAGGAAAATAAAACAGTTCCAGAGTCCCGAGTCCCCTCCCTCGCCGCTATCGACCTTCATAACTCGAGCCTGTCCTCGCAGCAGGTATCAAAGCAATAAAATGGTTTGTGTTGCTCTGCATTTGTTTGGTTTGTGACTTTCTGAGCAGCACAGCCCAGGGATTTCCAGTGTGACTCTCAGCAGGAGCTGAACTTGCCTTGGGATCTTAACTGCCTTTTGCTGGGGGAGCATTTGGGAAGTCCGATTTGACCGAAGGACGGATTTGTTTTCAGTTGGCATTTCATGCATCCTTAGGAGGTGGTTTGTGATGGTTCTCTGTATTGATCCTACACTTGCAAATTGATCCTGTCTCTTTCTTTTCCAATTTACAGCAGTCAGGGGCCTTGATGCCAGATGCATCAGAAGCCAGCTTCCCCAGAGTTGAACACTAGCCTTAGGGAGAAGATCCTGCCTGTAAAAGGTGGGCTTTAATTTCTGCTGTAGCCTCCTGACGGCTCCCAGAGGGATAGTTCCATGAACACTTACCTAGCTGGGAAGTACAATAGGAAAATTCTTTTATCTTGGTCAGGACATGTAGCTCTGACAGACCTCTTACTGAGGGCAGTACACGGCTTGCTGTGCCAGGTAAATCATTTTCCCGAGATGAGGGGCTGGGCATTGGTGTTGGAAATGAAGCAGCTCACGAAGTTGGGGTTGGGCAAGCTGATAGAACAACAAAAAAAGGGGAAACTGGCTGCCTGCATGTGAGGAGGGGTAAAAACAATTCGAGTTGTCTGATCTGTGAAGCACAGAAGTGTAAGTGCACAGCTTCAGCAAGGTAAGGATGCGTAATAAATCAAAATAAAGGAAGCCTGTCACCAGGGAGCACCTCTGTGGTTTTGCTAGCCTGTCTGGAATGTCATTCTGCTTTTCTCCTCTTGATACAGGTGACTGAACAGTGGGAACAACCCATCTGAGTTTCCAGGGGCTAAAGCTGCCAGGTCTGTGCAGGCGAGAGGAGGATCCCTTACTGCTGTTGGCACAGTGGACTGCCATGGAAGTGGCTCGGGTCCGGGCCGAGGACAGAGCTCGCACTGCCATTGCTGCTGGATTTCTTGCATGCAAAGAGCCCCTGAGATGGTGGCTTTCTGGCCTAGGGCCAGGCCTTGTCTGAGGAAAGTAGTGGTTGTTGGTGTGTGACAAGGGCAGGAGCTGGCTTGGAGGATTTCCGAGGAAGCTGGGCTTTCTCTTGCCTAACTGCTGCCCGCCTGAGGGGTTTCTTTTTAATGCATAGTGACGAGAGCAGCTGCTGAAATTGTCATATTTTGGTGGGCTGCCTGATCTGGATCGGAAAGCACTTTCGCCTTGACATTGAAGAAAATGTTTGTGCAAGAAATACAACGTTTAAATGTGCAAATCTTCACAGCTGTTCCTTTGAAACCCTTGCTAATGCACGTGTCACTTTGGGTTAGATTCCTTTTCCCTTCCCACCTCTGACCCCATGTTCAGGCGGGGTTTTTTGGGGTGTTTCATGGGGCCTGTTGTCTGGCTGTTGTTAATGGTGCAGAAAGGAATATCGTTGTGGAATACTGAGCTGTGGCACGTGAAATGGCTCAGTAACTGAAGTCATCATTCCTTTAGGTCCCTGGGGGAATGGGACGTGTAAAACTTGACTGGTTTTATCTCATGAGTGTTTGGAAACCCGTTTTTGCTTATCTGCCCTCAGTTTGTGGGTGGTCAGTTCTGTGCTGTCCCTGTGCTGCTCGCAACTCTGTTTTCCATCAGCTGTCACAACTCACATGGTGTCGTTAACTTTGGAGCTTATTTTTCCACAAAATACAGCCTTTCCTATTGATGGATCATGGTAGAAATATCATCTGAACTAACGGTATTTAGGGATTTGTGGCTATGCTGTGTCTTGACATGTACATTTAATTTGTAAATAAAAGGACGTTCCAATTCCAGGCCTGGTCTCCCTATAGTGGGTGCTCCCAGTTGGCCACAGCAGTCAGTCAGGCAGCCATGGGCAAATACAGAGGGGAAGAAGAAGGTTTGGGGCAGGGAGAGTGTTTTTTTTTGCAGGGGGAGTTGTGGGGGGAGTGGAGAAAGACGGGTTTAAGGGGAAGGGTTTGCAATGGGAAGAATGTGGCCAGCGGGTCGAGGGAGGTGATCCTCCCCCTCCATTCTGCCCTAGCAAGGTCACATGTGGAGTGCTGTGTGTGATTCTGGTCTCGACAGTTCAGGAAAGATAAGGAGCTACTGGAGAGGATCCAGCAGAAGCCCCAGAGATGAGGAGGAGAGACTGCAGGAGCTGGGCCTGTTTAAGTCTGGAGAAGACTGAGGGGGTCTCATCAGTCCATACAATTGCTTCAAAGGCAGGTGTGAAGCAGATGGTGTCAAGCGGACGGTGTCAGACTCTCCTCAGTGGTACCCAGCAACAGGACGGGGAGCAACGGCCATGAACTAAACCACAAGAAGTTCCACCTCAACATCAGGAAGAATCACAGGCTATTCTGAGTGGGAGGGCACCCACAACGACCATCGAGTCCATCTCCTGGCCCTACAGGACACGCACACGTGCCTGAGAGCGTTGTCCAAACGCTCCTTGAGCTCTGCCAGGCTTGGGATCCTTTCCACCTCAGCACATCCTGTGATTTCGTCGTGGAGTCTCCCTCTCCGGAGACGTTCCCAACCCACCCGGACGCGTCCCTGTGCCGCCTGCTCCGGGGTGACCCTGCCTTGGGCGGCGGGGGCTCGGACCGGGCGATCCCGACCCGATGCCGGTTGGGATTCAGCGGGCAGGAGAACACAAAGGTTTAGGTTTAGGGTCAGGGGCCGCCGTGCCCCGGAACCGGCCGGTGCGGAAGCGGAAGGGGCGGGCTGGCGGGGCCGGGCGGCGGCGGCGGGCACGGCCATGGCCACGGCGGGGGGAGAGCCGGGATGCGCCGGGCAGGGATGCGAGCAGGGATGCGAGCAGGGATGCGAGCACTACCGCCGGGGCTGCCGGCTGCGGGTGGGTCAACCGGGGGCGCTGGGCTGGGCAGTGTGTGTGTGTGTTTGTGTGTGTGTGTGTGTTGTGTGTGTGTGTGTGTGTGTGTGCCCCGATCCCTGCCCTGATCCGTGCCCCGTGCCCCCTCCGTTCCCAGGCGCCGTGCTGCGGGAAGCTGTACCCGTGCCGGCTGTGCCACGACGGCGCCGAGGAGCACCAGCTGGACCGCTTCCGAGTGTCCGAGGTGCAGTGCATCCGCTGCCGCCTCCTGCAGAAGGTGCGTCCCTCTTCTTCTGGGAGGGTGGGAAGGGGATCGCAGCATCGCAGGGGCGCGGGACGGGGTCGGTTGGAAGAGGCCGCAGTGGATCGCCTGGGCCCGCCTCTCTGCTCGAGCAGGGTTACGGGCTGAAGTTGTGTCAGGGGACGTTTAGGTTGGATCTCAGGAAAAGTTTTTTTCCCCCAGAGGGTGGTCGGGCACCGAACAGGCTCCCCGGGGCAGTGGTCATGGCACCAAGCCTGACAGAGTTCCAGGAGTGCCTGGACAACGCTCTCAGGGACGTGGTAGGATTGTTGGGGAGTCCTGTGCAGGGCCGGGAGCTGGACTCCATGATCCTTGTGGGTCCCTTCCAGCTCAGGATGTTCTGTGATCCTAGAGCACATGGCACAGGATTGCCTCCAGGCGGCTCTGGAATGTCTCCAGTGAGGGAGACTCCACACCCTCTCTAGGGAAACCTGTACCAGTGCCTGGGGAAGATTGTTCTTCCTCACGTTCATGCGGCACTTGTTGTGCATCAGTTCTGCCCATTGCAGATCCCCTCAGCCATGTCTTATCACGGCTGAACGGGCCCAGTTCCCTCAGCCTTTCCTCACAGCTGAGGCGCTCCAGTCCCTTAATCACCTACACAGCTCTGCGCTGGACCCGCTCCGGGAGCTCCGTGTCTCCTCTTGTCCCGAGGCGCCCAGAACTGGTCGGAGCTCCAGCTCCAGCTGTTCCTCTCCCCTCAGGCCCAGCAGCGCTGCGAGGGCTGTGACAGCCTCTTTGGCGAGTACTACTGCGACATCTGCCACCTCTTCGACCGCGACAAGAAGCAGTACCACTGCGAGGAGTGCGGCATCTGCAGGTGCGGGCGGGCGGCCGGGCCCCGGCTCCTCGGGGAGCTGGCCCTGCCCTGACAACCTCTCTCCACAGGATCGGCCCCAAGGAGGATTTCTTCCACTGTTCCAAATGCAATCTGTGCCTGAGCCTGAGCCTCCGAGGGAAGCACAAGGTGAGAATACGCCACTTAACTCCACGTCTTAAAAAAATAACACCCCTGAAGCTGGTTGGGCCTCAGCCCCATCTGAGGCCACAGGAACAGTGGTTCTGCTCCTCTAAATTCACCTAAAAGCAGCACAGAGGCTACCAGTTAAAAATACAAGAAATTTACACGTGGGAACTTTACAGTTTAGAAAAATACAGATATCTCTACAACAGAATAACTTTATCTTCTCTTTTCCATTTACAAAGTGCATTGAAAATGTCTCCAGGCAGGATTGTCCGATATGTTTGGAGGTGAGCTGCTGCTTTTCGTCCCTTGGATTACTGTGAGGCCCTATTTTTGACTGTGTTTGAATTAATTTTTTTCTCTTTTGTCTGAAACCTGCCTTGAAACAGGATATTCACACGTCTCGTGTTGGAGCCCACGTTCTGCCATGTGGTCACCTTCTTCACAGGTAAAGCAGATACCTGAGAAAGGGGAATAGCTGCTGCCTTGTGTGGGGTGTTTATTCAGCAGCACTTTGTATCAGCTGCTTACAGCTGGTTTTAAGGGACCCACGTGGTGGGGACTGTCTGTTCACCAGTAAATATTTTCTTTAGAAGGGTTGTCTTCCTTCCGCAGTTAATTTTGATGATGGGAAGCTTTCCTCTCACTTGCCCTCAGGATACTTTTAACTTCTGATTTGGGGATAGCTGTGTGCCTTTTTCCTGTGTTCAGTCCAAGTCAGTGTTACCAGTCAGTAATTACATTCTTCTTACTGAACTGCTCACTGTGTTTCCTTTTCAGAACATGTTACAACGAGATGCTGAAGGAGTAAGTACTTCTAAACATCTTACAATATTATCATAGTCGAAACATATTACTCCAGGAGGCAAAGATCATGTTGCCAGTTCTGTACCAAGTAACTTAAAGTCGATTCCTAAAGGGTTAAAGGGCATTTAAATTCCAATTCCGTTTGCAAGAACTTCCTGTTTCCTGGTGTCTGTTTGACTGGTACAATGTGAAACTCGTCCTTTTGAGTGGATTTGTTTCATGGCCTCGCTCCACCTTCTGATTTAGACATTTTTTTCCCCTTCCTGCCAGAGGTTACAGGTGTCCTTTGTGCATGCACTCGGCGTTAGATATGACCAGGTACTGGCGCCAGCTGGACAACGAAGTGGCACAGACTCCCATGCCCACAGAGTACCAGAACATGATGGTGGAGGTAAGACATCAGCCTTGCACCCGTGCCTGGTTTTGGTGGAACTGTGCCTTGGAGTTACTGGCAGTAGAGGGCACTAGGAAGTTGTCCTGGATCAGAAATCAACCTGAGGGGTAGGGAAGGATAAGGAAATGTCATGTGTAGGCTGACAGTATTTCGTAATTCCTGCTGCCAGAGCTTCTCCCTCTCTTTTCTCCATGCAGATCCTTTGCAATGACTGCAACGCCCGCTCCACGGTGCAGTTCCATCTCCTGGGCATGAAGTGCAAGAACTGTGAGTCCTACAACACTGCCCAGGACGGACGGTGCCGGCTGCCCTTGGAGGAGCAGTGACCAGGACACTTGGCTGGATGAGGAAGACTCTGCCGCGGAAGAGGCTTCCCGAAAAAACCCAACACTTGTCAGTAAAAATGCATTCCAAGTTCAAGGAGCCCTTGGCTGCGTCAGGGAAGAGAGAGCTGAGGAGGAGAGCAGCGTGATGAGCAGCTGACGCAGCAGAAGGTGTTTTGGGGGCAGCTGAAGGTGAGGGGAGGTGGAGGTGCAGCTCTTGGGGCTGCAGCTGCCGGGGAAAATGGGTCGCTTTGAGAGCAGCTTTTTTGGATAAAGCTGACATCCGCGGAGCCGCGCCCGAGGACGGCGTGTTCCTTCGGGATGACATCTTTGCTCCAGGGCCTCGGAGCCGTCGCCGTGGGCAGCTGGAGAGGGGGAGCCTGCAGGAACTGCATCCTTTGGCTTCATGTGGTGACACCTGTGTGCACAGAATTCCCCTCAAAACAAAGCTGCCCTGCCTGCCGTGATGAAGGGTCCAAAAAACCGAGGTGCAAGGCCCCCATTTTCCCCTGGACACCCGTCCTGACCTGCTGCTGTCCCTTCACTCAGGCTCCTTTACCAGCTGCAGTCACTTTTACCCCCATTTCTTCCTCATTTTGCTTCGTTCACTGGGAAGGACCAAGGTGTTGTAGGGTTTTAGACATGTACACAGCTCGATACTTTGATTTTAAGTACCTGAAAGTGAAGCACATCCTTGACATCGGGCTGAGCCTGAGATGTTCACTGAAGTAACACGAGTTCAGAGGCACTTGAGTAGTGCAGGGAACAATTTTGTTTTTTTTTTTTTTAACAGTAAATTTCATTGTGGGGAGAGAATGGAGGGTGGCTGACTGCCTTAAAAAAAAAAAAGGCAAATAAAACCCCCAGACCTGCCCTTCTGCATATGATATCCTACCTGAGGTGTTTTGCAGTCTTAAATGTCACAGAAAGTTCTTGATTTCTGTGAATTTCACATGCAAATAGTTTACAGTAAGAAGATATTAAAAAAGCTCAGTTACTCTTCGTGTTACAACTACTCCTTTTGTATTTGTTCTGTTGTAAAACAAGAGCTTTTCTTAATCCAACAGTGCCCCTTTCTGTATGGAATATTTAGGATTTGGATGTTAGCTGTTGTAGCTTGCCTTGACTGGAAGTATCTTTTTCTGGAGCACTTTTCTCACTGCTATAAATAAATGCAAAATAACATCTCTATTAAAATAAACAAATTACACTGTGTGTGATGTGCTCTCCTTTCACACCCGCTCTCCCTGGAAATTCCCAGGCTGAGTTTAAACCATGATTCAGTGCTGAAAAATGGTTGGATGTGGGGATGTGTGAGGCCTGGGACGCTGTTAGGAAAACAAGTGGGTTTAGCAGCTCCTGTGTTTTCGTGTTTTTGTGGTAGAAGCAAGACTCCTGCTGCTTTGGAGCACCCTCTGGATGTCTGCTGGCACTTGGTGACTCCACCACCTTCTGGGATGGAGACCTGCTCCCAGGTAAGCCCACCAGGGCTCCTGTCAGCCTGCAGGAGTTGTCATCCCAGAAAACTCAGTAGCCAAGTAGCCTTTGTCTTGCTAGTGGTAAAACTGTGCTGGTCAAGTCCATGAGCAAGCAGGTCTGATGCTGAACTGGAGGCTAATTTTATCCCAGCTGGAAACATTCCTGTTTGGATTCCAACCACAAGAGGAGGCTGAAAGGAAATGTATAGTCCAACTGAGCTTTGGAAGAGCAGCTCCCTCCCCAGCTGGACTTTGGTGCTGGGAAGGAAAATGATTCTTGGGGGTGGGATCCAGGTGATTTTGGCCTTTTGCTCTCCTGCTTTTGGTGTTTGCCTCTGGAAAGTGCGGGAGGGAACCTGATGCCACCAGCCAACCCCCTGTTCCACACGTTTATCTGGGCGCTGAGCCCTTGACTCCCTTTGCCAGGGAATAAATGGCACAGCAAAAAAAGGAACGGCATTTTGAGGGGGTAAAGATAAAAGGAGCAGATAAAGACGAGGGAGGAACTGCTTTATGGGATGGAAGGTACCACACGGAGCTTTGCTGCCCTGTCCCGTGGAGATGCAGCCGACGACGGGAGCGGGAAGGATGCTCGGATCAGGGCGAGGTGATGATCCCAGGATGAGGGCAGCTTGGCTGTGGGAGCTGTGGGGAAGCTCCCACAGCTGCCTGCCACCCAGAATCCCCCCTGCCTCACCAGGCAAGGGCAGAATCGGGAGCAGATGGGACCATTGCTGCCTTTTGTGGGAAAAATGTGGTGTTCCAGCAGGCACAAGGGCCGCAGGCACACACAAGGTCACGGAGCTATTAATAAAGCCAGGGCCTGCTGGAGTATGTGAAACCCGGGAGAGGGACTCATGGACACAGTGAGCAGAGCAATGCGGGACCAGGGGGCTCAGACAAGCCCTCCATCCCATGGGAATGTGCTGGGTCATGGCTCAGGGGCCGTGGGGAAAGCACATCCCTGATTTTGGGCTGGTTTCATGACTCTGGTGTGGATTTGTGTTGCTCCAGTAACATCATTTGGGGTGGCAGTGGGGGTGTTTCCTATTAAACCTCCAGGACAGCTGTCCCCTCCCGGACAGCCATCCCTTCCCATGGCTTTCCCGGTGCCGAGGCCGCTGTCTTGCCCCTGCCTGGCTGAGGAGGAGCCATCTGTTTTTAAATTTCCAAGTGGAAGGAACGCAATTAGGGAAAGGCTGGTCATGTGCTGCTATTTATATCTCAGAGGGGCAGGGGAGCATCTGTCTCTGCAGCTCCAAGCTCAGCCCAGGGGTGTGCTGGGGCCTCCGCGCTGGAAACGGGGCGGTTTCCTTTTTTTTTTGCTCCTTGATGGTCCCAGTTGGAGTTGGATCTCTGAAACCTGAACCTGTTCCTTTATCTAACAAGCCTTATTGCTCCTGGGAGCTGCAACCAGGAGCACCCCTGCTAACGAGTCCTTGCTCCTGACTCCAGTAATTCCGCCGAGAGTCTGAGGAGATGACGCTCGGAAGCATGTGGATGATATATGGGAATACTCACAAATGAGCAAAACAAGGGCATAATTAGGGAGGCCAGAGGGAGTCTGGAAGCAGTGATAAAGCAGCCTGCAGCTCTCTGGCGAGGGCAAGGCAGGAGACCTGGGGAGGGATCACGTCATCCGCAGCGCTGCTGCTGCCAGACTCCCGCGAGGTCGGGGAATGGGATGTTCTGCACGGAGCTATGTGAACTATTTTTTTCCTATATAAATAAAATATCTCCGAGGTGAAATGGAGCCAAAAACAGGGGGGAGCTGGGGGGGAGAGGGGGGAGTTGAGAGGAGGTGGAATCGAGCCAAAGTTGGGGCAGCCTTTGGGAAAAGTGGGGGTTTGCTATTTCTGTAAATAAAACAAGCCTGTGGCAGGGTTAGCATCATTGTTTTTGAAAAGAGAAGGGGAAAGGGCCTTTTTTATGGCTTGTCCTGGTTGTCTTTTCCCCTTCTTCCCTGCTATAATAGTGTGGGACAGGGACCCCTGGGTAAGCCAGGGGGTCTGAGGTGGGAATGTGAGAGGGATGTTTGCAGCCTTTGCCTGGAACACAGGCATCCCCCCTCTGAGGGCATCAGCCCCCAAAACAAAGTGCTTTTTCCACTTGGCAAATACATCTGTTACTCTTTAGGCTGTCCCGTGCCTTGGCCCGTGCTGGCAAACAGTCCTGTAGATGTAAACACGTTATCCATGTCCACATTATCCATGTCACAGGGCAGCTGCATTGTGAACAAGGGCACCGGGGATGGTTTCTGGTCCCAGGCGCTTGTGGGAAGCCGAGGAATCTATTTTCACCGTAGGATATCCCCAAAAATATGTACAACCCCTTCCTTGCACTGTAGGCACGAGAGAGTCATTCTTTTTGACCACCCAGGCACAGGGTTCATCAGGAAAGCTGACACCCCATTTCTGTTCCCTTTCATGAAAAGGGAATTTAATCCCTTGAGGGTTATATATTTTTAAGTAAAGGTGACAGCTTTTCTTCTCTCTTTATTCCCTCACGTATTTTAGCAGCAGCATTCGAGCAAAGTGAGTGATTTTTTTAATAGTTTGGGGAGGGCTTTTTTTTTTTTTTTCAATGCCAGCTCTTTGCTGTTGCTGGACAATAATGAGTTGTAGATCACAAGGAGTGAGGGAGAACCTTTCCTCTGGGGTTTTGAGGAGGGCAAGCGCAGCATCACGACACCCAATTTGCTTCAAGAGAAGAAGGGTGCTGATTTTTTTACTGAGTTTGTGTTTTATTTTAACCAGGGTGGCCTAATTCGCTGCTTCTTGGGTGCCCAAAAGGTGAAAGGGAGTTTTGCTCATCCTGAGCATCCTCGGAGCCTGCACTGCCCTGTGTGTGCTCCCAGCCCCAAGAGTTTTCCAGGCTGGCTGTATTTGGAAGGTGCAACAACCATTTCCTGCTTCTACCGAGTCTGAACTAAAGGAGGCTGAGGAACACTCAGTATTCACGGCAGAGGTGAAAAGATGGGCCACTGAACAGGCCAAAAAAGGCTCAGGAGGAAAAGGAAAATGCAGCATAATTGCACTTCCCTTTGGGAAGCGGAGCTTGGAGGAGCTGCCCCCGTTTCTCCCGACCTTTCCAGGTGGCTGTTGTGGTGCCGGACGCATTTATTACACTCACTTGATGAAAATCAGGAGATGATGCATCTGCTGCAGGAAGCAATCATGGGAACGCCCCAAGCTTTGATGTTTCCTGGGATGCTCCATTTAGGAGTCAGGGCGAACAGCAGAGCCTGTTTGCCAGCCCATGCTGGGACACCCCAAAAGTTTGCAGCGTCATTTAGAGCTGGTTTATTTATTAAGGTCACGCAGTCTGAGGGCTTTGCTTTCCGCTGCCAGGGAATTTAGCCAGGGGGAGAAGCGGCTGAGCATCCTCCTCCCAAACCAGCCCTGCCATCAGCCACCCACAGTCTTCACACACTAAAAGCTGAACACAAATTGGAGATTAAAAGGACACTCCGCTGTATTTTAGCAGCCAAGATTTTTAAGGATTAAAAACAAAGGTGTGGAGCAAGCAGCCACGTGTGTGAAATGGGTGGTCAGCGCACCTTCCCATGGGCTCCCAGGCTGTGTTTGGGACAAAACCCCCACCGTTAAGTGGGAAAAAAAGGAAATTAGGAGCTTCTGCACAGAAGCACCTACAGGAAAAGAGAGGGAGCAGTGACTGAGCATCCCCATAACTGTTCATGGTCCTGGTGAGACAAGGCAAAGAATTTCACAGCAGAGCAACACAGGGAAGTGATTTTGGGGAAAGGGACAAGTGAAAGCACAGGAGACCCCTGCACACTGCTGGCTGTGTCTCAGCAACCCCCCATTCCCCCCCAAAATCACAGAGCAGCAGCATTTCAAAGGGTGCCACGGCACTGGCTGAACCTCCATCCTCTCCTTCGACCTCCCCATCCAGTCCCCCTGGGGAATTTGGGTTCCCTTGCCTATGACAAGTGGTTGACGTGCCCCAGGACTAAAGGCCAAAATTCAGGTTTATTGTTGGCACACTGCACACCCGCCCTCCTCTTCCTGTGCTCCACCAGACCCGCCGTGATCCTGCCCCTGGCAGGGGCTCCTGCCCCTGGCAGCATCTCCTCGACAGCGGATGCTCTGCTGCTGAAGCGCTTATAAATTAAGGGTTTATGGGGTTGGTTTTTTTTTTTTTTCTTCATCCCTGCTAGGAATCATCGTAGAGAGGGTTGTTGTAGTTGCCCCAGGAGCCGTAGTCGTGGTCATCCAAAAGCCTTCCGTAGGAGGAGTGCCTGCCAGGGAGAGCAAACCTATTGATTTGGGGATTTGTCAGCTGTTCTACCGTGGGGTGAAGAAATACTCGTGCAAGGGCTCCCTAGGTCGGGCTTTGGGATATTTTAAGAGGAAGCACCAGGGCAGAAGGTAAGTCCAGGTTGGATTTTGCCCTTGTTGAACCAGACTAGACAGGGTAGGGAATTAAAACAAGACCTTTGCTCATCTCAGCTGTCAGCAGAGCCTCATTAGGGATGCTCAGCGCTGGGCTGTGCTGCTGTTTATTGTCCCAGTCACAGCGAGACCCACGGCAGCAGCTTTCCCAAGGGATAATTACTGGTTAGGGCTATGCTGAGCAGTGTCTCTGGCATTTGAGCGAGGCTCTTGTAAAATGAGGAATTAAAACTCTGCTTTCCAGTATAGAAGGGGTAGGAAACGCAGCCGTGCTGGGACCAGAGGCTACACATCACTCCACTGTGCTTGGGGACAGCATCTCCTCAGGGCTTTGTCCTTGAGCATCACCCTCGTGATGGTGAGAGGGGCTGAAGCCTGGGGGAGGTGGGGAGGGGCACCCCAAAAATAGCCTTACCTGATCTTGAGGTACGCTGCTGCCCCGAAAACCAGCACCACCACCACGATGACGGTCACGGTTATGGCCACGATGCTCCCTGTGGGTGATCCATCAGAAAGGGCAAGGTTCAGCCTCCCCAAATCCCAGCTCTTTGGCGCTCACCCCACACCCCATCTGCTCCCAGTACACCCGTGCCAGCCATCTCTGACAGGGGGAATATTCCCTCACTGCTTTTCAAAGAGGATGCAGGGCACTCTTATATTTTTGCGATGGCCCCTTTCCCATAAATCAGGAGAACTGGGGATAAAACACAGCTGGGATTTGCTTGGGGACCATGGACTCAATCCTTGAAGCTCCTCCCAGCACCAGGCAGCCAAGGCTGGAAAATACTCCACATCCCTCTCTTTTCTGACCTTATGGAGCACTTTACAGCTACCTGAGCTCACAGAAGGGGACAGGGAAAAGCTGGTATCAATTCAGTGAGGTGAACAGGAGCGAGGAGAAAAACCTGCATCACCCTAACTCAGGCTGCACCCGCCACCCAGCCACTCGTTTCCTCTCGTCCTTAAGTGCTTCAAGGCAAATTTACAAAACTAAGGATTTTTGTTCCTGTCTCCAGGCAACCGAGATTTGTCATCTACAACTCCAGGCCTCTGCCAGTGGAGCAGATGACACGGGCCCCTCTAGGAATGCTGCTGAGTGATGCTCCCAGGAAGCTGACCACCTCTTCCCTTCCGATTTGGGAGGTCTGCCCCTCCTGTCTGAGCACCCCGAGGCTGGCACTGCGTCTCTGAGGAGGGGTGTTGCTCACCTGCACTCAAGGCACGCGGCACCTCCTCCATGGTGACTCCGGTGGCTTTGTCCGAGGCCGTGGCCTCGGCCGCGCTGGGGCTCGCCACAGTCACTGGGGGGGACGTTGGCTCCACGGCCAGGCTCGATGCCATGGCCAGAGTCCCCAGGGAAGGGACATCCTCGGTCAGCGTCGGTGGCTGGGTGGTGCCAGGGCTCGCCAGGACAGGCGTTGGGGACAAGACTGAGTCCGGGTCGCCGGTGGGAAGGGAGGCGGAGGACGAGGACGCAGCCGTGCCCGTGGGGCTGGAAGCTGCCCCCAAATCCACGGTGCTTCTTGCCAAGCTGGCAGGATTTGCTGTCCGATGAGCTGGGGCTGTCTCCGAGGTGGGTGGCACCGAGCTGGGGTCGGAGGAGGCAGAGGGACTGTCTGTCACGGCGGTGGAGCTCACGGTGGTGGAGATGGGAGCAGGGGACGGTGCTGCCACAGCGGTGGCGTTGTGGCCACCCCCCTCCACTGGCCCGGAGGGCATCCCGTCTCCGGAAGGTCCCGTGGGCGTGGGCAGGGAGGGCTGGCCAGGAGCTGGTGTGGGGACATCAGCATCCCTGGAGTCTGGTGGCACCGGGATCCCCTGCCAGAGGAAGGGGGGGCTGATGGGGTGCCGGGGTGATTCTGGGGAGTCATCGCCCAGCCCTAGGAGTGAGACAAAGAAATATTAAAGACAGGGAAGGCCTTGGGGTCACGTGAGGTGTAGGGAAGCACTGAAGGTTTGGGGAATTAAGCTGGAAATAAGTTTGTTTTTAAAACGCTGAGAACCATCTAAAATAAAGAGGTGGAAAAAATGGAGTTGTGTACCTAGAGGTGAGGTTTAAACCAGATAGTTGCCCTGGCATAAATCAATGCCCATTTTTTCCCCAAGGTTGGAATCCCCCCATTCCCAATCACCCCCTCCATCTTTCCAGCATCTCCTCCCGGCAGCAGGGTAGGAAGCTCCTCCTCGCAGCAACCACCGTGCAGCTGGGAATGATAACACAAGACGCCTCTTTCTCCTCTCCCCCCCGTTTCCTTGTGCATTCATTCATTTGTCTCCATTTCTTAGCATGAAGATGAGTCATTTTCTCCTCTGTCCCCACCAGCTGACTGCTGGGGCTTTTTTCTCCCCCTTTCTAGGCCTGAACTCAGCACTGGTCCGGCACTGGCAGCTGGCTCCCTCAGTATGGTTGGGGTGAGGGAAGAGTGTGCCAGCACTACGTGACATTGGGAGGCATTTTTGTTCCATCTATTCATTTATTTACACCCCCAGAGCATCCCGAACCCAGCACTGGGAAGAGCAAGAACTCATTCCAGCTGCAATGAACTAATTATATGAGTGTGGAGGACAAAACCATTCAGTGTCTTGTGTGTAGAAGTGGTGGGATGTGGCACTGGTGAGCAGGGACTCACTAATCCAACCAAAATTTCTTCATTGGTGCTGTGGATGCCCAAGTGAAGAGCCTCATTTCCCAAGAAAAAAGGTCTTGGAGATGGGACAGAGGCCGTGGCTGCTCTTTTCTCTCAGGGATGAGCACTTGGAGATGTCTCTGAGCTTTCACCCTCCTCAGGCTGAGGACACAAGGCTAATAAACCTTAGGATAAGGGAGAGGAGATGGATGACAGGCTGGAATCTGGTTACTGAATAAGCCACCTGACTCAGCACTGTGGCTTTCCAGACCACCACAGCAGCAGGGAAGCCTGGAGCAAGCATCCTTCAGATCAAGGTTCAGCATCCATCTGCGTTTCAATAGTCCTTGCTCCGACACACCTGGACATTCCAGATTTCTCCAACAGGTACCAGGCAGCCTCTGCAGCCCAGCATGACCATCAAGGTCCCCCCAGGGCTGGGAGCCCCTTGAAAGTTTGTCACCTCTGTAAATGTAGATGCTCCCAGGCTCTCTAGGACAGAAGACAGATTTCCATCTCTGGGCAAAACCACCCTGATGTCCCAAATTGCTTGGGGTCAGCAGAGCTCCCATGATCTACTTGAACTTTGGAGGCAAACCAATAGGGAGCTGGGAAAGCTGGCAGTGCTGCAGGCCTGGATGAGTCAGGAAGTTTCCGATAATATCTAAGGGGTATAAATTCAGAGGGCGAGCCAGAACTGGATGCAGGAACAATCCTTGGCTGCTGGCTGGGTGCTCCTGGCCAAGAAGGTCACAAGTCACAATGACACTTCCCAGGAGAGAGAGCACAACTGAAGGCAGCACACTGCTCAGCCCAGGCCTGGTTTTCCCTGTCTCTCCCTACCAGCAATCCCTGCCTGTGCCGGCACTGGGCCATCCTCTTGTTTTTCCAAGCCATCAGCTTTGTCAGGTGATCTGAGACCCAGCCCAGTGGACCCCCCTGGGGTCCAGCTCTCACCTAGAGCACATGATCCCGGGAAATCCCACCCACAATCCTAGAGGCAAGGTAGGCTGCTTCTGCACTGGAATGAGGATGAAAGGACAAAAGGGCTGAGGACCGCATTGGGATGCTCCACGTGTCCCCATGTCACTCCACCCAGCTCATGGACAACCTGTCCATGGATTGATGACTGTCCCCAGGGCCGGAGAGAACCCAGTTTAACTGCAAGTCCTGTCCTCTACCATCACATGTGAAAGGGAAGATCAAAGGGAAAAAGAAAAGCCAAGGAGGGTGTTTCCTTGTTTCCCCAACACCTGGTCTGTAGGAGCTGCTGCGGGGAGCAGGAAGCAGAGCAGTGCAGTGGAATAAGGGACAAAACAAACAACTACAAAACTCCTTTTAAGACCACATCCAGTGGCTAAAAAAACTCAACCAGGGGCTGTCAGAGGGACTGAGGGATGTTAGCTCCCAAAGGATGCCGAGCATAGCTCAGCCCTGAGGAATTTGCCCATCTAATTCACTTAAGGCAGTTGACCACCCCGCTGGAATCCAGCACAGAGCCGAGGCAGGGGGCTGCCAGGACAAGGTAACCACCTGGGAAAGCAGCAGGGCCACACTTCAGAGCCCCATGGGAGCTTTGGAAAGTCCTCTTTCCAGATTTTCTTCACTAGAAATACGGAAAACAGCCGAGAAAAGAACAACCCAAAGCCAAATAATTCTAATATTCTGCTTTGGGGAATATTAACCCTTATGACCTGCCAACCTAAGGAATGAGCCATCCATGTGATGGACTGTCTCCTATTGCCATGCTGCTCTCCTGGCTCCTGGAAGCCACACAGAGGGGCAGGTCTTGCCCTTGTGGGAGCTGAGCACCTCTCATGCTCCGTTTGGGAAAGGGCTGCGTGACCTGGGCAACGCGTTTCCCAGGCACTCCAGAAGCCATTGCAGCAAATCCTCAATTGCTCTGCCTGCTGAAACGCAGCATAAAAAGCCACTGGAGGACATCTCCAGGCTGAGTGAATGACATCAGATGGAGCAGCCTCGCTGGAGCAAACAAACGTCCACTGATAAGGCAGAGATAGAGCTTTTAACAAGCCAGAATTCATTGTGCTTGACATAACCACCAGAAGATCCACACGATCTAATCCACACCCCTGCTCTCAGCCCAAATTAACCAAGGCACCCAAGCCCCAGCTGCAGTCAGGGGTGCTCCTCCAGCAGCCAAGGCCACGGGGATAATGAAGGTTTCCATAACATGAATATTATTCATTCCGCCTGCCAGCAGCGTATCCTGACTGTGCTTAAACAAGGAATCCAGCCACCTGTTCTGAACAAGAAATACAACAACAGGATGAAAACAAGCCCCTGGAACATGGAGATCTGCTGAGCACCCATTTCACAGTGTGCCTCTGCAGCAAGATTGGGTACCACTTTCTATATCAGCTTATCAGCTCAGCAGCTGTTTTGGGGGCAAACACCAAAAAAAACCCCATGTAACCAAGACAATACCTAAGCACCAGACTGCTCTTTAAAGTAAAAGTCTACAATAACCTCACTCCTTAACCTATCCAGAGAAAGGAAAAAAGAACCTTTGGCAGGTCCTGTATTATGCTGGTCCTCACCAAGTGCTGACGACAGAACAGCCCCGACCCCCCTGGTCCTGCAGTGTGTGTGGGTTTACAACCAGGTTAAGTGATGCAGAGCAATAAAACAATCTATATTTAAATATAAGGATTTCCTGTTCACGACCTCGTTGCCTTGGCTTTGGTTTCTGTGGCCAGGGATTCCCATACCTTGTGCTGCTTCCTTTGCAGTTCCCTTGCTCCCTGTTCATGCTCAGCTGTAACGTTCACCGTGGTTTTTAACTGTAAAACCGGAACCATCTGGCTGAGGATGGCAAAAGCTCTCCTTATGGTGGCTGGGACTAAACAAAACTCGGTTTTGCTTTGGGTTCAACTAGTTTTTCCAGCTGCTCAGCCCTGCACTGCCTCACCTTCCCTGTCACCACGCAGTTTGGGGTTTGGTGACGTTCACTTCTCTCCTGCCTGGCTGGAGGCCCCACCTGCAGTACACAGGGGTCTGACTGATCTCTGTACTGATACGGGGGAAGGAACACAGAGGATGTGGTGGTTCTTTGGGTTCTTCATTTGTGTCTTTCTTTTTCTAGGGCGCTGTTGCGGAGCTCTGCCTCATTGTCTGCCGAAAATACAGATGATGGGGAGGCCTGGGAGCAGCTCTGCAGGCTTCAAGCTCTGTCTCACACCCACCAAACCTTTCCATGCCATCGCAGAGGGAACACCCAGCTGGATTAGTAATGGGAAATGGTAGCTCCTGGGGATACCTCTGGCTGCTGTTGGGCCTCAATTAGTAAACCAGAGCCAACGTGGAGACTCCTGAGGTCTGAAGCAAAGCTCCAGCACTGCATGTGTGTGCTGGTGACCCATAATGTGGGCAGCAGCACCCCTGGGAGATCTGCTGCTCCCTTGCCTCCTGCTGCATCACCTCTGCTTTCAGTGCCAGGTTCTGTTGGTGACGGCATAAAACTGGCTCTGAGAGGAGGAAGAGACTAAAGGGAGAAAACCAGGGGCCAGACACACCAACAGGTAAAAGGCAAAGCTATTCCCTGACGCTGCAAAGAAGCCAAGGCCGTCAGATCAAATAAATCTGCAGTTGCTCTGATTTACTGGCGAGCCGAGCCGGCTTCCTGCGTGATTAGTTTTATTCTGCTGCATGGTCGTTAAGTGCTTTAGGTCTAATTGCTCTGAGGCTTCATGTAGCTAAGAGAAACAGCTCCACAATAGAAATCCACGTGCTGTATCCGTGTGTCCCTCACCATCCTGAGGCTCTGTCCCAACCGTGCAGCTGGCCAGGACACCCTGGGGATGTTCATCCTACTGACGAGCCGCTCCATCAGTATCCACTTCCCCGGATGTAGCAGCATCTCTTGGCAGTGCACAGACTGGTTTTTGCAAAAGGCAAGAGCAAAATCCACGTGGCTAAATAAAGGTGGGGATTTGGGGAATCTGGTAGTCTCTGCTCCTCCCAGCTGAGAATAACTTTTAAAACCCGTCTGGCTGCCTGCACGCTGAACAGTCCCTGTGAGCTGCTCCTTCCTTGCCTGGGGTGGGTGTCCAAGTTCTCCTCAGGCACCACCTGCCCCATGATCCCAACCCAGGGGTGGCATAAGAAACCCACCCTCCACACAAAGAAAATGTGGTATTTCCCCCCAAAGCGAAGTGTTGCTTAATTATTTAACTCCTGAAGCCCTTGATCCTGAAGCTGCAATGGAATTACAACAGAAAAGAAGGTGAAGAGGAGTCTTTATGTGGTTGGGAGAATGGCAGACAGACCTGCCTGCTTGGGACACCTCACAGAACTTTTTCCCAGGCGAATATCTTGGATATGACTTCGGAGCCAGCCAGGAATGTTGCAAACAGCAGCTCTGCCCAAGTGACAACATAACAGCTCCGTAATTTTCCTGGCCAGCTGCTAATTACTGCTTCTAGGTGCAGCTTTCAACGTGCATCAGCCCCATTCCAGCCCTTCCCATGAGGAGAAGCAACTGGGTTTGGCAGAGGAATTTTGGAGCATCCTCTGGTATTAGAGGCGGATTGTTCCTTTGGGCTGGGAGAGGGGATGATTAAGTACCCATCTCTTCTGTACTTCGAGGAGGGGCAGAGCCAGGAATGCTCAAAGCTTTACCTCCTCCACAGCAGCCTAAAACAGCCCCTGAGGCTCCCAGGTCCCCAAAAAAGCAGCTTTGCCACCCCGAGTCTCCATGAAGAAGCACTCGAAACCTTTAAAGCCAAGAGCTGCCTCTTGCAGGTGCTTTAAAATGTCTCAGCCAGGGCACAGGGTGAATTGCTGAAGGGGAAAGCAGGCTCAGGGCTGGGCATCATCTCGGGAAAGCAAAGCAGGTTTGAATTTACATCCCGAGTAAGGAGTAATAACAGGATCAAAACTTCCCTGTGTGAGACGCTGTTATTTCATTACGTGGCCAGGCAAAGCCCAGACTTCTTTTACTCCTGCCCAGTGACGTCCTTGCTGTCACTAAGTCCTGAAGAATGAGCTCAAAGCGTATTTAAATCGTGCTCTGTGTTTCCTCCCAAGTGATAGACATATATACGTTTAAGAATTATTTCTATGGGGACAAAAAAAGTCATGGAAAGCATCTGAAAGATGCTCTGGGGGCGTTTGGGAGCAGCTCGAGAGCCACGGGACCACAGTCCAGGGAAATCTTTCCCGGCTTTTCTGCCAAGCCTCGCTGGCGTTGGTGCTTTAGAGAGGGATGGTCGTGGGAACAGCTTCGGGTTTGGCCCGGGCGCTGGGAAAAACCCGCCTCCCAACCCCGAAGGTTGGCTCCTAGCACAGACTGGCTGCTTTGGGGGCAAATTGGGGCCAGGCAGGAGCCCGTGAGAGCAGCATCCCCAGCATCCCCGCGGAGCAAAATGTTCATCCCCATCCCTCCCAAATAGATTTGCTTGGAAAGCGCAGAAACAGGAGCTTGTTGGCAAACTCCCCCTTTACAGGGAGAAGGATTCATTCGGCTCTCCCTCCCCTCGCACCACTGGGGTCGCTTATCAGAGGAAGGTTTCCCGCAAGCTGATGTGGTTCGGGGTGGTGGTTTGGGGTCCTGCAGCCGCGACCTGCCCAGCTGCTGTTTTGGGGACGTGGCTGAGGGGCTTTGGGCTGTCATAGCAGGGAGCGCAGAGCTGGCCCTGCTGCCTCGTCCCCTCGCTGTGCTCTGCCGGCGGGGATTGATAATGACAGCTCTGCCCGATGGATTTCTCCTCGCGCGCGTCCCCGGTTATGCAAGTGTGTTTTCCATGTTTCTGAGCAGGCAGCTCCTCGTGTTGTTTATTAAAAACCCAGCCGGGGTGGGTGGCGGGGTGACCCTGCGCTCGCTGTCGCATCGGCCGGGGGCAGAACTGTCTCCTCTGACCGTCTCGGTGGGGGAAAAGGTGTCAGATTGGGTGTTTCTGCGGAAGGGGGAGGCTGGTGCTGCTGGGGGGAGATGCCTGGAGCTGGTGGGGAAAACACCAGGAGCTGGGGATGCGGGAGCCTCCGCTCAAGGCCAGGGAGAGACATAAAAGCTCCTTCAAAGCAGTGACCGCGCTGGGAAGGGGGATGCAGGGCTGGGGGTGAGCACCAGCCCGGGCAGGGGGGTGCCCGTGAGGAGATGTTGGTGGTCCCATGAAGTTGTCCTCTTTCAGGGCAGCCGGGAACCCGGCTGGGGACCCTCCTGTGGGGCAGGGGATGAGGAAAAGAGGGATGAAACACCCCTTGCCCGCTCCCACCGGTGTCATTGAGGGAACCCCCGGGGGGGCGTGAGTGGGACCAATGGTGGTGGGTTGCTCTGCGGAACCCTTCTCCTGCCGGGAAGGAGCCGGGCCGTCCCAGGCAAAGCGGGGGCTTTGCCTTCCCCCCGTCCCCGCCGCATCGCCCCCATCCTGGCACCCCGGGGGCTCCCCGGTGTGTGTCCCCCCCCGTCCCCACGCCGGTGCGGCGGCGGGCGCTTACCTGCCGGGAGGAAGAGGAGGGCGAGGAGGAGGAGGCGGCAGCAGCAGCCCATGGTGCCGGCGGCGCTGGCAGCCGCGGCGGGAGGGACGCACCGCCCGGCCCCGCCACCGCCACCGCCCCGGCCCGGCCCCCGCCGCCGCCGCCACCCCCCGCCCTCGCCCGGCCCACAGCGGCACCTGCCGGCCCCGGGCACCGCGGCGGGGATGCGGGACCCGCACCGGCGGGGCGTGCGGGACAGCGGGAGGGGCACGCCGGGCACCGGGAGGAGGATGCGGGGGGGCTCCGGGGGGAGGATATGGGGCGCTGGGCGCTGCGTGTGGGACCGCAGCATCGGTGGGTACCAGGAGCTGGCTGTAGGGCACCAGGCCCCGGGGAACACCATGCTGGGTGCTGGCACTGGGACCAGTCGCCCTGCACTGGGATGACTGGATGCTGAGCACCTCACACTGTCAGTGGGCATCATGATCTGAGGACTGGGCATGGGGTGCTCTTGTCCCAGCCAGTGGCACCAGGTGGGGGATCAGGGTGCCCTGTGGCACTGCCACGTGTCCCCCTTCATCCTCAGGGCCATGCCAGCTCCTGCTTGAACATAATGCATTGGAATTGTGCATTGGCATAGGTTGCCCAGAGAAGCTGTGGCTGCCCCATCCCTGGAAGTGTCCAAGGCCAGGTTGGACGGGCATGGAGCAACCTGGAGTAGAGGAAGGTGTCCCTGCCCATGGCAGGGGGTTGGAACAGGGTGCATTTTAAGGTCCTTTCCAACTCAAACTGTTCTGTGATTCCATGATTCTGGATCTCCCTGAGGATCCCTTTGCCTGCTGCATCCAGGGGGTGTGGTGCCAGTGGTGGGGGACACCCCAGGTACCTGCATCAGGCCAGAGCCAGGCAGCCAGGGTCCTGCCTTCCCACAGCAAAACCAGCTCCCAAAATGCAGCTCCCAGTGCCCAAAGGACCCAGCCAGGAGACACCTGTGGCACAGCAGGAGGTACGAGGGCCATTTTTTTACCTCTTTCATTCTGGAAAGTGCTTTGCTGCGGGTGAAATGTTTTCGGGCTGAACTCATCACCTCCGGGCTTTCGCATGCTTGCTATGGAAAAGGATGTCACGGAGCCCGGGCTGTGGCCAAGCTATCTTTATCCAGGGTTATGCAGCCCTCTATTCTATTGCATTGTGTGGCATTTTCTCAGGATGGATCCTGGCTCTGGGCCTAAAACAGCAGGACACAAAATCCAAGTCAGCTGGCGTTCCTGAAGCGGACGGTGTCGGGTGATATCTCAGCTCTCCTTGAAACCTTTCCTCTGCTCGGGAGGAGGAAAAATAATGCTGTTATTGCTGCTGGAGCTTGGTGCCGTGGGAACAGTGTGATAATCTTTCTGCTGCTTCTCTCCCATCCCTTTTTTTTGTTATTGTTCATGGTGCTGCATGCTTCCATGGGCAGGAGGAGTTTTTTGAGGAGAGGGCACAGCTGCCACTTCCCACTGTGGCCTTGGATGGAAAACCCCAAACCTGAATTGGGGTGCTGAGGGCTGAGCTGTGGGAGGCCTGGAACATCCCTGATGGTCACCAGGCTTGGGCTCCAGCTGCCATCTGCTGGTCACCTCTGCCTGGTCACCTCAGTAGAGCAGAGGACACATGGCCAGTGAGATGTCCCTTTCCGGGGATACCTTTTTCTGGGGTTACCTTCCACCAGCCATTTCCCATTGCTACTGTTGCCTCTGGAGATACCTGCCTTGGGGCTCCAGTTCTTTTCATATCACTTTAAAATGCTTTTTCTCCCCAGTTTTATCCAGATACGAAGGATGCTGATGGGAGACTGTTTCCTTTTGGTGGGCACAAGGATTTTTTCCTGCCTGCTCCCTGCCTGTGCCAGCCCCACCGGGATGAAATCAGCTCCTCTTGGGTGGCCCCGTGCCACATCCAGGTGCCAGCTGCCGGTTTCACCAGTCTTGCCCAAGTCCCCACAGGAGCTTTGCAACGTTTCTCTGGTGGTTCATCACCCCCTGCCTGCTTTTGGGGAGCAGCTGGCAGGGAGCCAGGGTGGCCACGAGCCGAGGGGTGGGCGACACTGGCGTGCCGGAGCTTGCGGCAGGATTTTTTGGCTGAGCGGGGCTGAGGGAGCTCGCTCACCCCCTGGCCAGCAGCCAAATGGCATGGCTGGGTGGCTGCCAGCACTTGCATTAATAGCTGCCAGCTTGCGGTTTGAGGTCACCCGTTCTTTCCAGTCTTTCATTTCCACCTTCCTTCGCTCCTGTAACGACCGGGAGCAGGGAGCAGCTCTGCCTCTCCTCCCTGCCCGAGCCCCTCTTCGCCGGACAAAGCTCTTTTGCTTTCCTTGGAGCCAGGACAGCACCAGCCCGTGGCGCCACATCCCTACCGAGCATCCCTAGATGCCAGGAGGGGACCTGCCAGCATCCCGGGGGGACACCTTCACCCCTGTTCCTCGAGACTTCACTCAGGGGGCCAGAAAACATCTTCCCACACACCCTGAGGCAAAAAAACACCCCAAGGCCAGCGTGCAGAGGGCTCGTGCCAAGGCACAGCCCCTCGCAGGATGATTCGGAGCTGCCGTCATCCCCTGCCAAGGCCTTTGGGAGGGTGTTTTATAGCTGCCTGCTATGAATAAATCTCCCTTTTCATAACAAGCTGGCCGGGGATAAATGGCTCTGGGGACGTGAGGCTGGGCCTGGGTGCACACCCTCCGTCCCTCCGGGGAGGGGAGCCCCGGAGTCCCTCTTGGAACCCGGGATGGCAGGATAGGGGTCCATCTCGCTGCCCAAATCCCCAGGGATGCTGGGGTGAGGCATCTGCTTGACGCCTCCCGGCAGGACGGGGCCAGGCGTGGCTGGTGCGAGGTGGGACGTGCGTCGGTGGGACACGCGTGGGTGGGACACACGGGAGGGGACGTGCCGGGGGGGCACCGCCGGACCGCCAAGGGATGGCTCCGGCGGGGTGGGAGCCGCGCAGCTGGAAGAGGAGGAGGCGGAGGAGGAGGAGGAGGAGGGCGGCGGTGCCGAAGCGGCCGCCCCCGTCCCGCCCCGCCGCAGCCGCCGGGCACCGGGCACCGGGCAGGCGGTGGCGGCGCGTATGGAGGCGGTGGCGGCGGCCCCGGCCCCGGGCGGCGGCCCCGGTACCCTGCTGCTCTGCCTGGCCCTCGCCTCCGGTAAGCACGGGGGTCCCCTGTCCCGCCACTGTCTCGGTCCCGGGATACCCAGATACTGACAGAGGGTGTTCCCTCCTGGCCCGGCCCGGTGCCCCCCGCCCCGGCCCGGTGCCACCCCCACTGTCCCAGCCCGGTGTCACCCTCTGTCCCGGCCCCGTCCTGTCTCCGGTCCCCGTGCTGCCTCTGTCCCATCCCGCTGCTTCCCGGTCCCCGGTGATCCTACACCTGCCTCCTAGTCTCATTCCGGTGCTCCCCCTGTCCTGGTGCTTTCCCACCCCTCTGTTGCTCTCCCGAACTCATTCTGCTGCACTCCTGTATCCCCCGCTGTCCCACCCCATCCCGATGCTGACACTGTCCCATCCCAGTGTTCACCCTGTCACCCTGATGTTTTCTCCAGTCCCATCCCAGTGACTCCCTGTGTCCCCCTGGACAATCCCATCTCAGTCCTTCCCCCACGCCCAGCCTGGTGTTTACCCAGTCCCGTCCCGGGGCTCTCCCATGTGTCCCCAGGTCTCATCCTGGAATTCCCCAGCATTCCGTTCCAGTGCTCCCCTTGGCTCTGAATCCCCGAATCCTTTGGGGCCAGGGTATCCTGGCTGGATCCTGGAGCAGGAGTGGGATGCTTTTCCCACCTGTTGATGGGACAGTGCTCACAGGTGCCCAAATACCCTCTGCCATCTTTGGCAGCATCGGGGAGGGGGGATGCCGGGGGGGATGCAGTACCTATACAGCAGGTGTGTGAGCATTCCCATGTTAGTTCCTGAGTGTTTGGGAAGCAGGAGCCTGCAGGCAGCAGCCTGCTCAGGGCCAGCAGGAGATAACCACAGGTAGGGCTGGGCAGCTGATGTCCCCCTGGCAGAGAGTGCCAGCACTGGAATTTCGAGGGAGCTTTCCTCTCCGCTGGGAACAGGTTGGGTTTGGCCTTTCGGCAGGGCTGGTGACTGCACTTGGCAGAACCTGCCAAACCTGTGCTGGCAGGAGGAAACCAAGGGTGGCCGACCTGTTTTGGGGCTGGTGTGCCCCATCGGACCAAGGTAATGCCCCGGGTGGTTGCTCTCCTGCAGTTTGGACTTTCCCGGCGGAGCGTGGGGGTGTTACAGCAAACTAATCCGGTGTTTGGGATACTCTCCTGGGTTATCTTTGGCTGCTCAGAAGGGAGTGCAGCCTTAGATAGTGGAGCCGGGTTCTCTGTGCATCAAAGAGATGAGGGTGTTTGCACCCGCAGCTCCAGGGTGCTGCGATCCGGGTGCCGGAGGGCACAGCCCCCCTCCCTCCGGAGCTGGCGCTGCCCCAGGGCAGTCCTGCCAAGGGGCTGCCAGCCCGGAGGATGCCAGAGCTCCGCATCTGGTTGCAATAAGGGTGGGGATCTCATCTTGGTGGGGATCTTTCCATGCCGAGCTGTGAACTCGGTCACCGGGAGTGAAGTCAGCCTCCCTCCCTGCACCGCCGCGTGCCCACGCCGCCCGCAGCTGCTTCCCGGGGGGAAGCCGCCCCGTGGCTCATCCCTGGCTCCCGCCAGGCAGCTCCCACCCTGCCGCTGGGCCAGAGGGGCCGGTGGGCTCCGTCTCCTCCCCGCCGAGCTCTTTTGGAGCTCTGTTACCCAGAGCGCGTCATTAGCGCGGCGGTGGCTATATATAGCCAGGAGGGACGTGTGTGCCGGGAATGTCCCTGCCGTGGGACGGGGGGGACTCCGGAGGCTTGGCTGGGCAGCCTCCACCACTGTTTCCAGGGTGCCGAAGAGCCGGGTGAGAAAACAGGTACCAGGAGACGAGGCTGCCAGGATTTGGCCGCGCAAGCTCTCCACTCTCTGGGAGGCCTCAACGTGCACCCACTCGGGGTGGGAACACCCCCCGCCTCGGCGTGTCACCCTCGCGGGAGCCGCCCAGCACCCTGCTCCGTCAGGCAGGACCTGTCCCCGCTCCCCTGGGTGCCACCGCGGCGGGGTGAATCCCTGGGGAGGGCCGGGCTGGGAGCGGGGCCGTGCTGAGTCAGTGCTGGTATGCCAGCGATCCGGTTACCGCCGCCGTGACGCGCCGGGGCTCAGCCACCTCTCAGTTTCGCCCCGTGGCCACGGTGACCAAGGTGGCCTCTTTCCTGGCTCAGTTCGTGCTGCGCTCCAGGGAGACCCTAGAGCACCCTCCAGCGCCTAAAGGGGCTCCCAGAGAGCTGGAGAGGGACTTGTCACAAGGGCTTGGAGTCACAGGACACGGGGAATGGCTTCACACTCACAGAGGGCAGGTTTAGATTGGATATCAGGGAGAAATCCTTCCCGGTGAAGACGGTGAGGCCCTGGCACAGGTTGCCCAGAGAAGCTGGGGCTGCTCCATCCCTGGAAGTGTCCAAGGCCAGGTTGGACGGGGCTTGGAGCAACCTGGGACAGTGAAAGGTGTCCCTGCCTATGGCTGGGCAGTTGGAAAAAGATGTGCTTTACAGTCTGTTCAGACTGAAACCAATCTACGATCTGGGGATCCATCCCTGCATCCTCCCAGGGCAGAGGAGCAGCTGGCTGCCTGCAGGCAGGGCTGTGTGCCCCAAAACCCGCCCCTCTGGCTCCGGGACTCCCGTGCTGGGGCGTTGGCGGGTGGAGGTGACAGGCGGGGACCGGCTTTCCCTTCTCCTCGCCCTGGGGAAAAGCTGATGCTGCCAGGGAAGGGGGGCCGTGGGCGCAGCTGCAGAGCCCGTTGCCGGTCCCCACCCTGTGGTTGTGGTGGGGCTGTGGCAGGGATGCCGGGGCTCTGGCCAGGCTCCCTCTTCGAGCCATCTCCGCTGCTTTCCAGGCTTGGCATTCTTCAGCTGCGTGGGCGCCGACGCCAACGTCACCGCCGGGCATGGCACGGAGGGGCTCACCTGCGACACGGCCAAGGGGTGCACAGGTAAGGTGGAGGTGTGAGGATGCTCGGGGGAGCTGGAGGCGCTGGATGGGAGCTGGGCGGTGCAGGGGAGCGGGCTGGGATGGCACAAGAGCTGGTGTTTTGTCTGGCAGAGCCGCGCAGCCTCCACGGAGCTGGGAAGCCAAGGCCACACGTGCTGTTTGCAGCTGGCCAGGCTTGGACCTGTTGCTCTGGGATGCCGCTGCTTCTGGGCGGAGCCGTAACCCCTCTGGGGGAATTCTTTGTCCTTGCCACCCCCAGGGAACGGGACGCAGCTGCGGCGGCAGGGCCACTTCTCCCGGTGCCCGGAGGAGTACAAGCACTACTGTGTCAAGGGGAGGTGCCGCTTCCTCGTGGCCGAGCAGGCGCCGGCCTGTGTGTAAGTCACTGCTGGTGACTGGCAAGGGGTGGGATGCCGTGCCCGTCCTCCCTGGGAGAGCGGGATGAGGGGGGGCACGGGCACCACGGCTGTTTTTGGGACCCCTCCTCTTCTGCCTCCCTTGTGCCGCGGGGCAGGTGCGAGCGAGGCTACACCGGGGCTCGCTGCGAGAGGGTGGATCTGTTCTACCTGCGAGGGGACCAGGGCCAGATCGTCATCATCTCCCTGATCGCCGCCATCGTCACCCTCATCATCCTCGTTGTCGGCATCTGCCTCTGCAGTCAGTACGTCAGGGGACAGGGAGGGGAGGGAAAGAGGGAAGGGAAGGAAAGAGGGAAGGAAAGGAGGGAAGGGAAAGAGGGAAGGGAAAGAAAGAGGGAAAGGAAAGAAAGAGGGAAGGGAAAGAAAAACGGAAGGGAAAAAGGGAAAAAGGAAAGAGAGAAGGGAAGGAGGGATGGGAAAGAAAAAGGGAAAGAGGAAAGGAAAATAAGAGAGAAAGGAAAGAGAGAGGGAAGGGAAAGAGGAGAGGGAAGAGGAAGTTCTAGACTGGGAGCAAATCCTGCCCAGTTCTGCTGGCTCCAGGCAGGTCGAATTTGGGCTGCCCCAACCAGGTGGGATATGGCTCTGCGGGTGCAGGGAAGTGTCTGGGACATTCCTTTGGGGCTGAAAACTGGACGAGATCCCACCTGGAGCCTTTGCAGTGTGAAAGCAGAGGAACGGGGAGCAGCATGGCTGCCACGTCTCATTCTGCCTCTTTATTTTTTTTTCTTTAATTATTTTCCCACCCCTAAAAGCCACTGTCGGAGGCAGCGCAGGAAGAGAAAGGCAGAAGAGATGGAGACGCTGAACAAGGACTCACCTCCCCGAAGCGAGGACGTGCGGGAGACGGGCATCGCATGAAGGTGCACAGGGCCGGGCGGTGACTGAGTCGGTGTGACCGGACCCCCCCGCACCGGGGCCGGTGCCGAGACCCCACGGGCTCCGCTCTCTCCGCAGGAGCTCCCGGTACCTGCGGGCGGGTCCCGGGCGGCAGCACCGGCTGGCTCGATGGGCGAAGGCTAAAACCGCACGGGCGGGCTTGAATAAAAGGGGTGTCGGAAAGGTGTCCGCGTGTCGCCGGTGTCCTTGACGGGCGGCGGGGCCGAGGCCGGCGCGGGGCTGCGCTGCCGCACCGTGTCCGCCAGACGGCGACACTGCGCCGGGCGGGGCAGGCGCGGAGCTGCTGCTCCGGGTGCGGGACGAGCTCTGGGCAGGGGGGGCGACAGAACGTCCTGTCCCATCACGGTCCCCGTCCCGGTCCCGGCTCCCAGGGGCTCTGTCGGGCTCGGGGCGCTGTTCTGGGCGGCCCAGGGGCCGTGCTGGAGCTGCTCCCGGTGCTGCCGCTGCTCCCGGTGCCGTCGCAGCCGCGTCTCCCCGCAGGGACCGGGCCGAGTTCAGCGTCCTCAGAGCGCTCCGGACCGGGGGCTCCCGGTTCCCTGGGGCTCCTGCCGAGCGGCTCCCGGTCCCACTGCAGCCCGGGATGGCCTCGGCGTCCCGGGGAGTGACCGGGCGAGGGAAACCGGGCAAAAGTGGGGGAAAACAGGTGAGAACCGGGATAACTGGGGCCGTTCACTCCCTTCTCCCCACGTCATGGGCTCTGGTGCCCGGCTACGATCTGGACCGTGCCCAGGCGGCCACAGGTGATGGTTTGTTTTCCTCCCCTCGGTGTGGGACCCCCTCCCCCTCTGTGGGTACCCGTGACTCTCCCAGTGGGTTTCGGCACCAACTGTCTGGGGTCCCCTCCTGGGGAGCAGCGGTGGCATCTCAGTCAGTGGGGCTGGGGGTCCCTGTTATCTCCCACCCTGGACTGGAGACATGGGGACCTGGCAGAGCTGGGGGTCCTTGGCAGTTCCCAATTCCCACCACGGGATCATCTCCCTTGTGAACCGTGACCTGGTGACTGGCCATGACGGCTCCACCCGCGCTGTGTCTCCCACCCAGCACTGGGAGACTGGGAGCCAGCAGGGCTGGGGGTCTCCCAGGGGAGCTGGTGACCCTTCCTGCCACCAGGCTCCGTTCTGCCAGCAGAGGCCTCTGCCCAGGTCTCTCCCAGAGCGGCTCCCAGCAGGACAGACCTCTCCAGCCTGGCGCTGGCTCTGGCAGAGATGGGGAAAAGTTCGATCTGGTGAGTGTGGGAGCTACTACTGGGGAAACTGGTTTGCACTGGGGTTTAGCCCTTCATCACTGCCCAGCATCGTCCTTGTAGGCAAATGCCCAGGGGCCAGAGCTGGCAGTTTTTAGGTGCAGTTTTGGGGGCCTGGGGGTGACTCTGGGGCTGTGCAAACCCCTCCTGTAACTGAAAACTTGCTTTTTCAGCTCAAATCGTGCCATGGGATTCCTGCAGCCCCAGGCAGTGACCCCTGCCTGGCTGGACACAGGGAGTGGTGACCACCCCTGCAGTGCCAGTCCCTCTGGAGGTGTTGGTGGCCCAAGCAATGCCAAGTGGCTGTGCCAAAGTGTGGGGAAGGCTCATGCCAGCGCCCAGTCAAGGAGCACAGCCCTGAGGCACCAAGGGACATTGTTTTGGGCACCTACTTCACCAGGTTCCATGATTTTCCCCTGGGGAAATGGATTATGGGTTCCACAAAGCTGCTGGAAGCCCTGGCTCTGAGCTGAGTGGCACCAGCATCACCTTGGAGCTGGTTCACCCCCCCATAAATGGCTGTTTATCTCCAGGCTCTGCTGGGCCTGGCTATGGGGCTTCCAGCTGTGAGGAATACACTCGCTGTTCCTTTTGGGAATGTGCTGTACTCAGTCCAGAAGACAAATAAAATTAAAAGGAGATAGAGTCTGTTTCCTGTCTGGTTTTGGGGGGTTGATGTTGATGGCTGGGGTGCTGTTGGCCCTAAGGAGCTGGGAAAAGCAGGCACTGGGAAAACAAACAGGCCTGCAAGTCTCAGAGGCGGATAAAACTAATACTTTAAATCTTTTTTTTTTAATGCTTTTGTGGGGCACTGGCCAGGTAAATGTTGGAGCCATTTTATTCAGCGCTGGGTTTTCAGTGCCTCAAGTAATTCTTTTTCCCATCACAGGCCTGCATTCCCTGGTTGGAAGGTTGTAGGGATGCTGCTCCCACCCTGGAATTCCTGCATTGCTGCTAAATTCCTGCTGTACCCTGATATTTTGGTGGGGAGCAGAAAGACTGGATGGGAAGGGTTGCACTGAGCATCAAGGATGAGGATTTAAAAAAAAAAAAACAACAAAAAAAACAACAAAACAAAATCAGGGATTTTGCTGCTTCCTTCACATCTTTGGGAATGGGTTAGAGAGCTGGTGGGATAAAAATACAGGTGCTGAGGACAGGAAGAAGGAGACCTGGTAAACAAAATTAATATAAAAAACAAACAGAAAGCCCCACTGTGGCTGAGAGTGGAAAAGCCAAGTGATTTATGCCCAGGCTGGCAAGGGCTGGAGAGAACCCCTCGGGAATCAATGCTGGCTGGCATCAGCCGGGAGCAGCCCAGGCTTTCCCAGAGTCTGCTGGTTTTACTAAGAGAGTTGTTGTGGTTTGTGTTGTTTTGTTTTGAAAGGCAGTTGAGTATTTTTGGGTGGTTTCCCCCCCCATAAGTGCTGATGGTGTCACGTGCAGAGGTGTCCTTGGCTGGCTTAAGGGCATTTCTCCAGCTTTTCTTGGAATCCCAGGAGGTCACTGTAATTGAGGCAGTCCTTGCTGTGGGCATCCTGAATCTGAAGGATGCAAACTGAGCCTGGAAGGGAGTGGAAGCTCTGGGTGGTCACCAACACCTTGTGACAGAGATTAATGGGAGCAGAGGGATGTGAAATGGAATCTCATCCACACTGATGTACCAGGGGAGGCAGGAGGATTTGATAAGTGTATGAATGACATGTGAGTCACTCACCCAACAGAACAGGATAAACCCCAGCTTATTAACTGGAAAGAAATAGAATATTATTATCAATAGAAATGTGATTATTTGGAAATTAATATTTTGAAATGAGTGGTTTTGCCGGTTTTGCCTAATTTTTTTAGAGCATTAGCTCCCGGGACTAGAGCTGGGACCTCTTCCTGCCTGCAGAAATGGGAGCAGCCGTGCCCATTCCCAGCCCTTCCCACCGCCCCGGCGGTGCAGAAAGCCTTTCAAGCAGCGGCGAGGAGACTGTTTTCATCTTTATTTTGGCTGCAGGAATACAAGGGGGGTGTTGCTGGTGGGTGGGTAGGGAACCGTGGGGCTTGGTGGCACCTTCTGTCTGCTGGGAATCCTCCAGCCCAGCTCCCTTCCGACGTGCCACATTCCCGCGTATCCACCGAGCTTTGCCTCGCGATCCCGCTCCATCCGTGAGTGCCTGGAGAAGCGATCCCTGCCGTCGGCACCGGACGCCCACCAGCTGCTCCCTCGGGGCCCCTATCCCAGGAGGCAGGACTCCTGCTTGCACACCTCTCCCAGCTCCGAGCTCACCTGGAAAAGGGGGGAAGAGCAGAGGGGCAGCCCCGGGTGTGGAGTCTGGCACCACCCCGGCTGTAGGGAGGGTCCTTGGCTGTACCTTGGAAGCACAAAGGAGCGGAGGCGCGTCCGGGGTGCAGCAGGTGGAGGCGAAGGAGACTCGCTGCTCCAGCATCTGTTCCAGCAGCTCCGCGCTGGCCTCGGGAAACGTCTGTGTCAGGCTTTCCCGCAGCCTGCGGGGCAGGGGACGGGGTGTTAGTGGGAATCCGGCAGCGTTCCATACCCATACAGCATTTGGGGAGGGGGGATGCACCCGTGGATGGCGTGGGGGGGGGGTGTTATGTGTTATTTGCTTCCCACTATTTTGCAGCTATTTAGGCTCAAACCCACCAGCTCCGTTTGTGCATCCTCAACCTCTCGGACGAATTTTGATTGCATCCCCTGACGCAGGTGGGTTTTTTGGGAGGGAGGGGTGCAGAAAAGGCTTACCTCTTCTTGAAGTCAAGGAAATAGAGCTCGTTGTACTGCCCGCAGAGCTGGCTGGCCCGTTCCAGGACGGGGGGCAGTTCTGCTCCCATCTGCTGGCGCTGCGAGCACAGGGTGGGTGTCACCAGGCTGGGAAAAGCCCCTGCAGGGATCTCGGGGGATGCAGGGATGAGAGGGAGCAGGGGGAGCACCCAGAGACCCCTCCACCACTCACTTTGCTGTCCAGGCAGGCAGAGGGGTCCTTGGCTGAGCAGCATTCCTCCCTGATTTTCTCCGAGGCGTCATAGAGCTTGGCAAGGACGGCGTCAGGGAGGCTGGGGTGCCTCCGTGCCAGCTCGAACAGGGACCTGGAACGAGGGGCCACATGGGTTTTTATTATGGGTGCTGCTCAGAATGGGATGGGGGCTGCTTTTGGCACCTTTGTGCAGCCCCTGGGGGTGGTGCCTCTGAGGGAATTGAGGATTAACCCCATAATTACCAAACCATATAACCAAGGGGAGAAGGAAGGGTCAGGAAACAGTTGGACTCAATGACCGTAGGGGCCTTGTCCAACCTAAATGGTTTTACTCACTCCATGATTGTAACCTGGGCAGTACTTGCCTGGTGGTCTGGAGATCCCCCTCCTTGCCACACAGCTCCTTGTTGGTTGGCTCCGGTGCCTCTGGGAGTTTGGGAGCGGGCGCAGGGGGCAAGGCCAGGATGCAGAAATAGTTTTCCATCAGGTTTTTCCCCCTGCAGCAGTCGGCAAAGCGTCCGTCCTGGGCCGACAGCGTGGCACAGGCTTTGGCCGTGTGCTCCGAGAGCTGCAGAGAGGGGAGCACAGAGAGGGTGTGTGGACCCCCTGCCGTGATGGGGTTTGTCCTCTGGGCCCCTTCTGGGATTCGGGAGGTGGTTTTGGGGTGGGTTTTGGGCTCCCCCCCTACCTTCTTCTGCATGCAGTCCTCAGCCACAGAGTCGCAGCACTGGGAAAACACCTCAGCAGCGCCTTTGGCCAGGGGGAAAAGGTCCTCGAAGGAAGCAGCAGGCACCTTCTGAGCCAGCGAGGCCAGGTAGCTGGGGGGCACAGGGTGTGTGGGGGGGGCTCAGGGGGCTTGGATCCCCCTTCCAGGTAACAGCTCCGAGCAGGGGTGTGGGAGGGAGGTGATGGGGAGCACAGGGCTCACTCTGTGCCTGTGCTGTGCGTGGAGCATCGTCAGGGATTTACACAGGAGTTGTCTTTGTGAACACTGCCCGCAAACGGGATCCATGGTGGGAAATGGGAACACCCTCCCAGCCCAGCACTTGTTCCCGAAGGGAAAGGCCATTTCCCCCGTACCTGAAGGTGACTTTGTCCTTTCTGTACACCGAGAAGCGGGAGCAAGCCCGGTTTGATATCAAGGTGAGGAGGGAGAGGGTTTTTCTTTGCAGTTTCTGCCACAAAAAGAAGAGGGATATGTCCTCCTCTTCCCAGGCCATCAGCACAGGGTTCACCTGGCTTCCCAGGAAGTGAGGATGGAGACAAGCCCGGCGGTCCGAGAGGTCTCACCTCCTTCAGGAAGCAGGCGGTGGGTGCAGGGGAGATGCAGCAGGTGGAGACCATGGAGAGGAAGGTCCTGGTGGAGCCCAGGAGCACAGGCAGGGGCGCCTGGCTGTAGCTGCTGGCGTACTCGTACAGATACCTGCGGCGGGGGCGGGATGAGGAGAGCGGGCACACCGGGATCGGGAGATTGGGAGCAGGACATGTAGGGTTTGGAGGCATTAGGGTCCTCCAGGGATGGGAGCCCTCTCCAGGTACCACCCCGAGCTGCTGGATCATGGCACCAGCCGGTGCCAGCACCCACCTGGGCTCAACCAGGCGCCTTCCCTGTCCAGGCTTACCTGTCCGCAAATTCCCGGGGGTCCTTCCTGAAGGCCTGGCAGAGCTCCTGGTCCGAGGGCTGGAGGTAGCGGGGCAGTGGCTGGGGCGGGTGCCGCAGGGCCGCCAGGCACAGCTTGCGCTCCAGCCCCTCGTGGGTGCAGCACTCGGCCGTGCCGGGATGCGCCGGGAACGGCGAGTCCGCGCTGCAGGACTTGACCGACAGGGCCGAGGACTGCGGGAGGGACGAGGGGTTACGGCCACACACCACATACCGTCTCATCCCAGCCCTGGTGTGGGGTCCATCACCCGCTTTCGGTGACGCCTCACCCCGGCATCGTAGCAGGAGGGGTCTGCGCCGTCGGCACAGCAGGTCTCAGCCAGGGACACGATTTCCCGGACGAGGTGGCCGATCTCCTCGAAGGTGCCATTGGAGTATTTCCGGCTGTTGGCGATGATGGTCCTGGGAGAAGGGAGCAAGGACAAGGTGAGCCGGTGGCGGGTTCCTCTCTCTGAAAGCAAAACTCGTGTCGCAGCATCATTCTGCCCAAACAGTGTTTAAAACCGTCTGCTGTGGCGCTGCGAGAAACAGCAGTGTATTCCTTGGAAAACAGCCAGGGAAGAACTGGAACAGGTTCCAGGCTGGAGGCTGACCCTTGCAGGGGATTATGTGTCAGCTCTGTTAGAATTCCTAGTTATTTAGGCACCTAATTGGCTTTGAGGAGCTCAGAAATGAAGTAAACTCTTCTCCTGCTAAGAGCAATGGCCTGTTTGCAGGCAGCGAATCCACCTTCCAAGATTATTTTTATTTAATGGTTTTTGTTCTTGGCTCAGGTGCTGAGCGTCCTGGCAGGGCACCGACAGCAGGAGTTACCTACAGGGTTCGGAAGTTCTCCTTCCCCAGCATCCTGTACTCCTGGCAGACTTTCTCCCGGACATAAGCTTTACCTGTAAGTGCAAAAGGGGGAAAAGGGGAATTGTGAGCAGGGAGTGAGGGATTCTCCGCTATCCACAGAACACAGTGCTTTATTCTCTTGAGGACTGTTTATTCTGTCCCTCTGTTGCTTCTTTTCCCAAACAGGATTTGGTGGTTCCTGGGGAGATGTTGGCACAGCCGGTCTGGGAGAAGCATCCCTGGTATCCAGGCTGCTGCTTTGGCTCTGCAGCCGAGGAAAAGGGCAAGGAGAAAAATCCTCCCTGGAACTGAGGGAGCTACAGGTAAAACATACGGCCATTTTTGAGTTTGGAATATGTGGGGTTGGTTTTCGTGGCAGGGTTTGGAAACCATAAGGGCTGGGAGCTCCAGAGCCAGCCCCACAGAGCAGCCAGCAGTGAAGGCATCCCGGCAGTGCTCTCATCCCTGGAAAAACCCAATCGATCTGTGCTACAGACCCATGGGTCAGACTTTGGCACCAGCAGGGTAAACACTGATACCAGCATTTCCTGGGATTACAGTGCGGAGCAGGGTGACCCCCACAAAACCCAGGGGTCATGGGCTGTGACAGCGAGGGTCACATCGCTCCGGTGGGAAGGGGAGGGAAGGGTGAGAGGGAGTTTGCCAGAAAGGGGAAGCTGTGGAAAAGGCAGGTCCCTTTCCTCACAGGTTGGTCCCGACTCGTTGCATTTCTGTTCACTTCCATAAAGCCATGTGGGAGAAGTAAGTTTTAGGGTTTTTTTTGGCAAATGAAAATACGACAGATTCGCTGCGGAGCTGAGAAGGGAGCAAAGGGCAGCAGAGAGCATCATTTCCATTGAGGGGTGAGTTTTACAGGGAAATGCTGCTTGTGAATGGGGGTCAGGAAATCCCATTTTCCCTTGGGAAGGGAAGGAGCTGATGCCTGCGGTTCTGTCTGCTCCTCCTCCCACCCCAGCCCAGCCTCTCCCCCTCCCGTCTCCTCCAGCACCACCCCAAAGGGGCATCCTAGGTACCAAACCATCACCCCAGTGCTTCCCTTTCCTCTCTGATCCTGCACAGCGGTTTGGGAATGGGCTGGGGAGAGGGGAGGCCACCAAAAACCACCAGAACTGAGGACCTCAGCCCCATACCCCTCATCCCAGGGGACAGCAAACCCCGGTCCTTACCTCGGTGTATTGCACGTGCGGTGGCCAAGAGCAGCAGCAGGGCCAGAGCTGCCCTCATGTTGGAGCTGGCTTCCCTCCTCCTGCCGGGAAGAGGCACTGGGAATCCCATCCCAGCGTTTATATGGATACAATGTCAACAGCCAGGAGAATGATTAATCCCAGAGGGCGAGCATCCTTGGCCTGCCTGTCGGGGTCTGGGTGCAGCGCCTCTGAAATCCAACAGGTTTTAATCATTAACTCGGGAAAACAGGGATGTGTGGCTGTGGGACATCGGTATCCATGATGGATGGTGGGCACAACAGCAAGAGGAGTTGTGCCAGGGAAAGCATTGCATGAATCCCACCATGTGTGGTCAGGATCATTTATTGAGGAAGGAGCCGCACTTTTTTTGGATGCCAGCACACACAAACCTACCCAAGGCGGGGACAGCAGCTCTGTGAGGTGGTGGTGGCCCGATGGGTGCCCTGCTCTGCCATGACCTTGTGGCACCGGTGCTGGGCCAGGGTGACTCCCACCTGGAATGACTGATGTCTGAGTGTCACACCTGGAATGATTGATGTCTGGGTGTCACACCCACGTGTGTCTGAGGGTTTTTGGGAGAGCCTGGGGCTGGCACTGGAAGGGCCAATAGGTGCTGTATGTGGCACTGGATAACTGGGACAACTGGTGGTGTGCTGGGATGAGAGCAGCCAGCCCTCCACCCCAGTCCTGGGCCATATCTCCAGGTCTCCTTCCGTGTGGGGAGCATCGAGGAACACCCTCCCTCACCCCAACTGGCAGCATCCGATGCTGCTGGGAAATGCCAGCTGTTATCCTGGGAAGCTCAGCTCTGGAGTGTGCCTCAGTCAGGTGTGCACACCAGGTTCCATTCCTGCCTCTGCTGCTGCTGGGTTGGGGTCTCCAGCCTGGGGGATGCAGCCTCATCCCAAACTTCTGCTGGGAGTGTTGTAGAGCTCTTTGGGGTCTCCTTAGAGTGAAGCTTTCCCTCTGTCCCTTGAAAAACGAAAATACAACATATTGTCATCTTCTAGGGTCCAAAGCCAAGCCTGGGAAGAGGAGAAGATGCAGCTGAAATGATCCTCACTGGTCCTGCCTGGGGAACTGATGAGAGGGAAGCAAATACAGAGGTATGGAGGGATGGAAGCCCAACTGCTGTGGTGAGCCCCGGGCCCCAAATCTGCTCAGCCTCCCCATGCACCGTGCACTCCCCTCGAGACCAGTTGTGCCCCCTCAGACCAGATCCTTGGGCTGAAGGCAGAGGTGGTTTTAAAGGCAGAACCCCTGGTTTAACCCCCTCCACCTCCCCCCAGATATGGAGTTTTAATTGATGGTGGTGAAAATCTGCTCCAGATGCTGCACGTGTCTGCAGAGGGAAGGAGAACTGGGATCAAAGACCAGGAAAATCATGGTTCCTCCAGCAGCGAGCTGTCACGGAGGCGTGTGCATTTGTGCAGCTGGCTCGCAGCGCCCAGCACTGATGGCGAGCTGCAGCCTGGCACCGAACCCTGCCAGCGTAGGAGATGACAGTGTCCTGTTCTCGCTGCTTTATGCCCGAAAGGAGAAAATAAATAATTACGAACTCGGCAAGCTGTGCCATGGGCCCTGCAGTACCGGCTGTGTCCGCCAGACGGCGCCAGGCGGGGCGGTGGCGCGGGCGGCGCTGCGGGTCCAGGGATCCCGAGGGGATCCCGGGGGGATCCCGGCGCCATCCCGGGGCCGTCTGGGACAGCGCTTTGGGAAGTCGCCCTGAACCGTGCACCTGAACCACAACGGAGAGTTTGACAGTGCAGAAAAACCGCCGGAGAGGAGCCGTGACCCAGCATTGCTTCCTAGTGCAGGTGTAGCGGGAGAGTCCAAAGCAGGCACCCACTCCATGGAAAGAAAGGCACAGGGGCTGCTGTGACCTTGTGCCTGTTCCACAGAGAAATGACTGGGAAATTTCTATAAGCTGAGTTTATTATTTTTGTTGTGACCGTGACAGCGATAGCACCGGAGTCCTTCTGAGGGGAAGGGGTTTAGGCAGTGGAAGTTTTGTAATCACAGGCAGCTGTTGGTCAGAGGGTGTGTTCGGAGCAGTGTGTTCCCGAGCCCTGGGGGTGCCCAGCACAAAGCCAGTGGCCCAGGCAGAGGTTGGGCAGTATCTGGTCTGTAATGCTCTGCGTTCGCACTGCTGTGTTGGAACTGTGCCACGAGCCAGGCTGGCTTTGACACAACGAGGAAAACAACCTTGGCTTCGGGATTAAAGACCAGGCACCCCGTCTGTTCTCAGCAAAGGTGGAGAAGAGGTTGACTCCATTCTTTGGGGCACTTGAACTCTGAATTCAGGAGCACTCGGCGAGGGAAAACCATGCTCGGGAGCTATTATTTTGGTCAGCATCTGACTGAAGGTTCCCCCAAAGAGACCGATGTGGTGTCATCCACTCAAAAGCAGTGTACAGATTTTAGGACTTATAAGTAAGGAGTTTGAAGTCCTCAGAAGCTCCGTGACGACAGAACAGTGTCACTGCCTTTATCAGCTCATCTCTAAATTCAACATGTCACAAGAAGACGTGCAGAAACCAGGATCTCCCAGAGACAAGGGGGGCGGGGGCCGCGCGGAACTGCGTTCCCAGCGCGCCCCGAGGGCTGTTCCTGCAGTGCCGGGCGGGTTTCGCCAGACGGCGCCACCGAGCCCGTTGGTGCCGCAGCCCCGCCCCGCTCCCCCCGCCCCGCAGGTGCCGCGCAGGGACCGCCCCGGCCCGGCCCCGCCCGGCCCCGCCCTCAGCCCTTTTACCGAGCGCCGGCGGGGCTGGGGGAGGCTTTGGTGTGTGCGGGTCGGGGGGAGCCGGTGAGTGCCGGGGCCGTGCGGGGAGGGACCGTGTCCGTGTCCGTGTCCGTGTCCGTGTCCGTGTCCGTGTCCGTGTCCGTGTCCGTGTCCGTGTCCGTGTCCGGGCTGCCCCGCCGTGATCCCGGGTGTTCGTGCCCAGCAGGGCCGTGTGTGCGCAGAGACCTTGGGGCACCCGCGGGACGGAGGGTGCGGAGCTCGGCCCGGGGTCGGCCCGGGCTGTCCCGGCTGCGGCTCCGGCCGGGGGGGCTCGAGCGGCCGCCCCCGGGCCGTGCCGGGAGCTCGGCTGT